GAGGGCATCATCATCGACGCTAGAAATCGGTGAGATGAAAAAAATGGATCACCCGATAGATGGTAAATCATCGATTATCGGGCGGCAATGAGCGGGGTGGGGGCGTTATTTAAAAAACGCCGTAGAATCACTAAATCATCATTATTTTAAATCTCTTATTTTTGCACATTCTTTTTTGACATTGTTTTTAGGTGTTGTTTTTTGTGTTTTAAATTTGTTTACTGTGAGTTTGTCATAAATATACAAAAATAAATATCCTCTCGGGTGTTTTAAATGTGTTTACAATCTGAGATTGTCATAAATAAACTTACAAATAGACGAAAATAAATATCCTTCTTTATTTACCGTACCGTACTTACCACTTCAAACTCGAAGACTCTGCATGAGGTGATGCATATACGATGCAGTATGTTCATTAAGTTGAATGTAGTGTATAATGTAGTGGAAATAACATTTAACACGGAAATCAAGCGTAGCCACTCCTGATTAGTCAAGCACGTGGTGCCGATTAGCCGGACTGGTGAAACAGCCTTTGGAGCGGTTTCTCCGGATCGGCGCGGGGCCGCAAACGGATGATAATTATCGATGGTCGACTTTATAATATATACAGCACAGGGGTGGCAAGAGAGATCCGCTGTTGAAGCCAATTGTGTGTATTTTGGAAACCTGTAGCTCTGTGTTGTTCTTTCTTCGCCACGATAGAGTTATTCACCTGCACACACACGGGGGGAGGGGGAGGCTGATGAATTGCTGTTTTCTGACGGGGGGTGGCTCACACATCGACGGTGGGCGCCAGAACTGATCGGGTGGAGGGTGGGATGAAAATGCTTCAATCCATTAGTTACGTTTGTTAAAAAAAAATCGTGAGACCCCGGGTCAGCTGTGTAAACTGCAAACAGCTGCAGTAGGTTTCACTGTGCTTTGTACTCACAAAGTGCAAGCGTGTGCCGTGCCATTCTCTGTCCACTGCTGCTGCTGCATACACATCCATGCGCCAAGGGCAAACATTGGATATTGGCCGCTCGTCCATAATTCCATCCATTGATCTTCTTGCACAAACACGGCACAGGCACACACCCATGATGTCGTCAATCCACTGCTGGATGAGACTCCCTCTGTGCCCACGTGGCCTTTAGAAATCTCAACGTTCACCTACAAAGTCCCATCACAAGGGAAAAACACAAATAGACATCACCACTAGTATACTCACCACTACACTCACCATGACATACATGTCAACCCCTGATCAGTGCCCTACCTTATTACAGACAATTCAGACCTTATTGATCACCCCGTGCCTTTTATAAATCTCAACGTTCACCTACAAAGTCCCATCACGAGGAGAGAAACACAACTAGACAAACATGTTTGTTGTTGCCCTTGTTGAAACGTCTGTACGCCGCACGGACCCGAAAACTCAATTTCCCAGTAGTACAAGAATACGGGGTAAACCGTATGTGTTGACAGCTATTTTCAGTGCGGGTTGCCGACTCCGGGTTGTACCGTAAACACGCAGGAGCATAGAAGTACAGAACAATAATGTAGAGTATTTTTGCTGCTCTGCTGGCCATCAGCAAAGCCTGAATAGTACAATACTCATGCGAGCCGTTATCCAGGCTGGTTGTTTTTTTTAACCTGCTTAGCTTCCACGCTACCTTTATGAAAGCGCCGTGCAAGCCGGGGCGATCTGGTGGCACGCGGACACACACACACAGCAGCAGACGTCTCGAATAAAACGCCACATTTTGCTTTGTTTTTATTAAGATGCAAACGTACATTTGTATACAGACACTTGGGAGCTACGGCACAACCAAAAAAAACTGGTATTCAAATGACCGACCATCTAGAATCGTTAATTCCGCGGTTTCCCATGCGACCACATGAGCAGGGGGGGGGGGTGTAGGAACGGTTCGATTAGAAAAGAAAGCGATACATTACTATTAATATTTTTTTGCTTTATTTTTCATTTCCTTCACCAAAATTATAATTGATATTGAAATAATATTCGAACTGAACGGGGCTCATTTACCTGAAGCCGTTTTCTCGGCAAAAAGGCTGAGTTTTGGTACGTTTGGTAGGTCACCGAGATCTCAAAACAACAAGCAGCACATTGAATACAAAATAAGAATAATACGTGTGAGTAAATTAGTGTGCAAAACGATCAGTGAGCTGTTCAAAAATGCTTACGAGCAGAAGTCACGTGTGGACCCGCTAAGCGAACTTCTAACGGGTGCATTGGTTTTTTTTTCCTCTCTCTCTCGCTCTAAAAGTTTCCTTTAAATCTAAGGTGGCGTTGCTTTTGCCAGCGAACAAAAGCCGAACAAGATGACAAGCGTGAGGAACATTCAACTAGCAGCCAAATAAATACATAATCGTACAGCAATGCGTTAAAAGGAATATCGTACAATGACAGCGCCCTTTAAATCGTCTACTTTCCGTCGAGAAAAAAAAATTAATAGGTATACACACACACACACAAAAAGGTCTTTGGAAAGGCACCTTTGTAAACAATATATACAGACACTTCGTTTGCCAAACATAACATAGCGTAATCTATAGTAAATAATATTGTACTTATATTACTGTGTTTAATATCAATACTTCAAGTTTTTTTTTATGTTTGTTGAGTTGTTTTCGCCCAGAAGTCAACACTGACCCAGCTGTTCACCTCAACTGCCGTTACCTCTACCCCCGTGGCCTCCCGTTACCATTCCTCTTTACAAAGATGCGGCTGTAACTGTTTGCAGGTTCACCACAATGTCAAGGGTTTCTTCACCGTTTAGATCTGGGAAAGTGGCATCTTTATATATGCCTCTCATGCATCATCATGTCCACTGTAGGGACTCACCATGACATGTACAGATATAGAACTGCTATGAAATGATACTGGTAGGAACCACCTGGTTCTACCAGCCCACAGGGGATTATTGTGTCCGTCCGTCGTGCATCCAAAAATAGGAGGGGTGGGGCTGGCTGGGGAGGGGCTGGGTGGGGGGTGGGAGGGGTGGGGCTGGGTGGGGAGGGGCTGGTCACCCCGTGGTGCCCTTATAAAACTCAACGTTTAACCTACTCACGCCGGCTTGTGCCCACCCTCACAGTCGGGCATATTTGCGGAATACACCACGCCACCGTTGACCCTGGCCATTGACCGAGCAACCCAACGTTCCTACCAGCTCCCTCCGCAGGAATGTGTTATATATTAAAGAAACGGCAACACATTTGGGGATGTTACGGACTTTTACATCACAATAAACCAAAAATAAAACGTTTCAGCTTTGCTCTTTATGATTAACTCATGCATGAGAGGGATAGGTATTTCCATGACGAGATCTTTACTTGTTTCAGGCATAGGAACCACTTACAAGGCTTTCCTATAGCACAAGTTATCATGGGGGTAGAAGAGGTTTATAACACATTTGTTCATTTAAAATAGTTTCATCTGACACCCTAGGCTTATTGCAATATTGGCTAAGGATATGTAGTGGAAAGTGATGGCTGTATATCTCACATTTAATTTAAACAAAAAATTGCAAAAAAAGATAGCTTTTCCAGGAATCGAAAATAAGCACAACTTAGCAGTTTTCAATTCACAGAACCCATAAGTAAAAACAAACATGTGACCTGTGCAAATTACGCAGAGACCAATGGGCGTACAGAGATCGGCATGACCAATTGCCAAAGCTGTGACATAGCTGGACACAAAGACCACCGCCTAAACTTCAGTGCCACCTGCAAACAGTTAACTCTGGACACAGGAGGAGCTGAGTTCCACCCCGTCTAACCACTCCCTTATTGGAAATTGTTTTCTAAGCTGGCTATATCATGTACAAAATACTGTTTGTCATTTTAGTAAGTGTATAACCGTTGTCAAATCACCTCGGCGCACCTAGGCAGACCTGGGCACACCTGCGATGTTTATTTTATTTTATGAGAACGTTACAAGAATAAAAAAAAGACCGTTAAAGAAACAATATTTACTTTCACATCTTGATCGCATCTTGACGCATGTTACACATTTTCTTTGCATGCGATGATGTATCTCAATTTTTTTTTAATATATATAATAAAAACCGTCTTAGCATATGTCACTTGCACTGTGCCACACATCTCTACATTGTGGATGCAGTGTTTTATTTGCAGGCTGTTTTGTTGCCAATTGGCAAAGTGTCCTTATCCTGCTCTACCCCAGGCCCTGTTGTATTTAGCAAGCTACACGCCGTTTTAATCAAACATATGGAGCTGAATTCTTAATAAAAAATACAAAAGATTCTTCCTTTGTAAGTAGAAACTTTTTTTTCTGTTTCACCCGGTAACAATGGGTAATGTAAAGTAGACGTCTGAACAATTCATTTCTCGTGACATAAAAACGTTGAAATTAAAACGACGTAAAACAAAAACACGTGTTTTGTTCGAATCTACTTTTTCATCTACTCATGTTGAAACTTTTATAACACAGACAGAATGAGTTAATGAATCTATAATTAAAAGCGAACACGGCTTTTTTTGCAGGAGAGTTTAACGACAGATCTCTTGAGCACGAAACACTGCCAAACAACCACAAGAGGCGATCCTACAAATCACGGCACCATTATCAGCAGCTTGTAAACAATAAACAAATGACTGATGTAATGTACTTCAACTACACTAAACTAAAAATATCTCCTGCAAATACTTTTTTTTTACTTTGTCGTTTTGTTAAATATTTAAGTAGAAGAAGAAACGTGAATAATTTTTCGTGGGCAAGGCGAACAATCTGCCAGGGTTTCAGCCGTCCGTCTTCTTAGCCGGTGCTAGAAATTATTTATCAACGAGAGAGTCACAAATCCACCCCAAGAGTTCTTCTCAAATGAAAAACGAGGCAGTTTTTTTCGTCTCTTCCCCCCCCCCACCCCCCCCCGTGCACAATTACAAATCTCCGCAGATTTTTCGAGTCAGCATAAATGCGGAGAAGCCACGATAGCAAACAAAAGGCACTGTTAAATACAGCTGCGGTTTTGTGAGCAGGAGGCATTTGTTTATCAAAGTCGTTCAGTAATTCTGCTTTTACAAGTTTCTTTTTTTTTTGTTCAGGCGGGGGTAGTGGGCTGCTCGGTGGCGGGCACCGAGATGGCGAAGTTTTTGTTGGGCGGGTTGTGGAATTCAGAAGCTTTCGACGAAGCTGCCCGGGAAGAGGCCGGTCTTGCCGTTGCGCTGCAGCGTGCCCTTGTACCACCCGTCGTCCCGCTTGCGATGGACGAAGACCACGTCCCCTTCTCTCAGCTCCAGCTCCACGTCGCTCTGCGGTGGGTACGGGACGACCACGCGGTACCTAGGGTCGGGGTTAAGGGAGAGAGCGATGCGTGTTGTTCGGGGGTAGAATTGTACAGGGGGGGTGGACAGGGTTGGAAATGGGTTTGAGCAGCAAGGGGATAACACAGGATGGGTTGGTTATGGTGGCGTACCACACGCTGAAATGATTCCAATGCTTGATTGGTTAAATACAACCTTGTGTGTGTGTGTACATCCACTTTTTGTTAATCAACTGCCGGATGAAGGCTTCCCAACATTGCGCGGTTCGTGGGAGGTTCTTTAATAATACTTAGCCACGCTAGTCAGTGCGCGTTGAAGGTGGGAGGGGGGCAAACAAGCTCAATGCCTTTTGGCGTCATCTGGTCCAACCCATGTGAGACTAGGCTCTAAGGAAAGCTGTCTCGGGTGTGGACCAATCAACTTCAAGGACAGTGCATACATTATCAAAGTTATGTTTTTGTTTGCATTATGACTGCAGGTATTGTGGTCTATGCAAACATGACTCCTCGTAAAAAATGTGTCAGTTTTGTTGCCAGATAAAAGGGTAAAAAACCAATTATCATATTTTTCTACTGGCAAATGAGGTTCCAATGGTGGAAGCTCAATGCATTTTTGCATTGAGCTTGTTTGACAAAACTTCGACACGCTGGTCAGCATGGCCTGCCTTCACAGCGTAGAAGTACCGTACATCAATGGACTTTGCTGCACTACCGTCGGTGGCCAACCACGTAGCCTCACAGCTTCAGAAAAAATTCGATTATGGGTAGAGCGGTCGCCGCCCTCCCAAGCACTGTCCAGGCTCACCGCCTGCTTAGATCCCAAGGTCTGACGAGATCCGGGTGATTGGCTCGCCGCAGAGCACAACTCGAGGTACAACCGACACCTTCGCGTGACATGTTCTGCCTGGTGCGGGGTGCACACAGGCCGGGTCAACGGCGGCTTGGCAGTCGGAATTTGACGACCAACGCTTCTCATAACGGCGTGCGGCCTCCCCCATGTTCTCCCCGGATGGCAATGAATAGACCCCGGTGATGGTAATTCATCATCAGACGTCTGCGGTTTGTGCTCGGGTAAGGGGAGGCATAAAACATAAAACGAATAAAATGCAGAAATTGCAGGGGATGTGCATTGTCAGTTTCTCAAAATGTCCAGAAGTCATCGCGCCAAGTGTAGCCACTGCAGCACTGTACACACGCATCTGCAGGAAATTACTTTGGTGCAGCGGTGCTCTGCTGGGTGCTACAAAATAAAAAAAAACACATTAAAACAATCAGCTCTGGAAACACTTTCTTGGAAATATTCCTTCGGCTTTGTGTGGGGAGGGCCTCTGAGCCAGCTGTTTGGATGGCTGTTCAAATGCCCAATGGGGGGGTTTTAGAGGACGAGGAATCGTTATTTACTTTTAAGCCCAAAAGGCATCGAAACCTTCGCAATTCTTGCGATAAAACGTGATTTAGTTATTGTTTGTTTCGTTTCGGGTTTTTTTGGGACCTTGCCACACACGCGCATTAAGGTGACAACTCGGATTAAAAAAAAAGTGAAATACCTCGACTCAACGTTTAAAGGAGCGGGGGACGTAAGTATTCTCAACATGAAACCGACACATTGCACTTCCGAGAAATAGCATTAAGCTGCAAGTGATAATAAAAACACACAGACAAAACAAGAAAAACAGAAGCGGGCGAGACAAGTTTACGATGATGATTTAGCATCTGCTTTGCTATCACTTGACATGAATACAAATCCCACACATTAACACACCCGAGACACTGAAAACTACCTCCAGCAGTTTGTTGTTAACATTCGGCCTGATTTATTGCCATTTGGGAAGAACAAACATTTGAAATGTATTTTATAAAGAGCGCTACCCTGGACAGCGGGGTCATTACAGTTGCTACACTGGGCACACACTCATCAATATTGCGGGCATGCCACTCATCAATATTGGGGGCATCACGGTGGCACGAAGTTAACAACCTCGCCTGCTACGCAGGAGATAGTGGGTTCGATCCCGACCCTGACGTCCTGCTGTATATTTGGAGTTTGCATTTTCTCAATGTGGTCGCGTGGATTTTCCTCTGGGGCGTCCGGTTTTTCCCCTCCACATTTAGAAACAACGTGCATTTCGAGTGTTCGGCTGCTATACATTTTCACGTGAGAAGCAAATTTGTTGAGATACCATTTGTGGCCAGGTCGCAAATTAAAAAGAGTTCTACGGCTCAGTGGGTCTTATCTGGTCAAAAAAAAATTACCCTCTCGATGTACGGCCACACTGGGTGGGCAGCCGTGATACAATGGTTAGTGCTGCGCTGTGAATACAGCAGCCCGAGTTCAATTCCCTGCCTGGTGGGTGACAAAGGTGGTAAAAGGGCGTGGTTCTGACCCGTGCAGACTCGCTAACAGCACTTGCCCCAAAGGGTCTGTTGAGGCTATACGGGGGGGGAACTTTGTCTTGTCTTGTGTATGCACATGTGCGTGTGTGCGTGCGTGTCCAGCCCTTTCAGGAATAAGATGGATGTCAGATATGGTCTCGCGTGGGGTGGGCGGTGGAGTCTATTTCCGGGGAATGACCGTGCCGGTTGCAAAGGCTCTGACCGCAGGATGGATGATGTGTGAACGAAGCGCCAGATGAGAAAACAAAACGGCTACATCTGGGCATGAACACACCAGACGGCACCGATAGCGCATGCCCTCACGTCGTGCGTTCACCTCAAAGGGCGAGTGCGCTGCCACTCTTTGAAGAAATAATTTTAAATGCTCTTGTGCATTCTTTCAAAGGGTTTTATACGCAAACACTTTCACAGTGTCACGAACAACGGGAAAAGTAAATATCAATTCCTAACAATTTTCAAGATTTTTTTGGACGTAAATTTCAAACCCCTTGAATTCACTTCCAGTTTTTTTTCACGTCACAGCATATGAGCGAGTGGGTTTGGCTGGGGGCTCCCTATCGTTAGCTCTTCCTACCCACTGTCACCATTGTCAAAGAGAGCAACTGCACTGCTGCCTAGATCAGGGGTCGGGCAACCTGCGGTGGCTCTTTAAAGGAGCTGCGTCGTGGAAGTTATTTGTTAAGGACCCACCGGTCTCTCGTGTTCAGCACACGGTGCATTGCGGCTTTTTAAATATCGAGTTATTAATTTGAAAAAAAAAAAAGGCCCTTGCTATTTTCTTTGCCGACCCCTGGCCTAGACTGAACCCAGTTTTAGGATTACAAAGTGCGCGCTGCCCTTTGCAGATTTTTCTTTGGGAAAGAGACGATGGAAATATACGTAACGAGTGAAAACGGTGGTATTCATACATTTTTGAAATACATTTCAGGAGATACTGGCGTGTCGTTTACACCGGCGCGATAATCACCCACCAAATTATCATGTCACCACCGTTTCCGACAATTGACGATTAAAAATATTTACCCGCCAAGTGAGCATGCCAATAAAAACAAGTTTTCCTGCAACTCTTTCTTCGGGCGTTTCCCCCCGCCTTGGGGGCTTGGCACAGTTGTAGCCCCCCTCCCCCGCCTTCCTTACCCCCCCCCCCACCCCGGAAGAACGCAACGCAAGCAACCCACGCACTCTGCGCTTCTCACCGTTCCCGCTGGAGCGGCTTCGTTTCGGGCCTCACGGGCGCCATTGCTGAGCACGGTTGGCGTGGGGGAGGGGCGACCGGCGGGGTCAGCGACCTTCCATGACCTCCGACCTCCGCCGCCGCAGTAGCTCCCATTGCATGGGCTTCGGGCTGCTGGGCATCGTGGGTTGACTGTGGAGGGGGCGGCGAGGCGGAGAGCGGAGGCGAGCGAGACTTGCGCTTGGCCGAAGCGCTGGACAGGATCTTGAGGAAGCTGCTCTTGCGCTCCTTCTGTGAACGGCACGAGAGCGGCGAATGTGAGAACTATCGGCGAGACAGAGGTGTGGCTGTTGGTTGAACGAGTCAGCGGTTTGGTGAGTGAATGCGAGAGTGAGCGGGCGAGCGAGCGCACCTTGTCCTTCTCGCCCTTCTCGGACTTCCCGCCGGCCGTCGCTCCTCCCGAGGCGGCGGAGGCGACGGGCGCAGACGAAACGCCCGAGCCCCCGAGTCCGGCCTGCTCGTCGAGGCTGGCGGCGCTCACGTTGGGCGGGGTGATGGCGGACGCGACACTCGCCAGGGCGGAGGAGAGCGAGGGGCACGGGCACGGCGGCGCCGGCGGCAGCGCGGTGACCGGCGCCGGGAGCGGCGCGGCCGGCTGGGGCCGTGCCGAGGCCGCCGAGAGGCGCGGGGAGCCGCCCTGGGACTGGATGGGGGGCACAGCCGCCACGGGCTTGTCCGTCGACGATGGAGCTGAACGCACGCACAGGCAGGTGTGTGGGGGGGGGGGGGTACACGCGCGCGTGTCAAAAGACGTGTGCGCCACACTGCGTAAAAGTAACGCGCGTTGCGCGCAAATCGACGCACGGGAAACGCAGTCAGGCGACGTATAGGCAGAGGCGAAACACGCACGCAAAGAGCACATGTATTAGCACCTTCGGTTAGCACGGTTAGCTATATACGATGCGAAAGAAGTTGAAAATACATACAAAATCCATACAGATGGGCCAGCAACACAGCTGCTGTACCGCCATCTAGAGGCCACTTCGTAGTCCTGCAGGTTGGTGTTTCACGTACACAATGGAGTGTGTACGATCGACCAACTTTGGCTCCAGTGTTGGTTTTCAGGTGATATTAAAACGCGTTACAAACTCCGTTCATGTTAAAAGTGACGCGTAGAAAACACGGCATCGAGTCCCTCGAAATTGTAACTTCTTCCAACATCTGTGAAATCTAAGGAGCTCCCCATGGCGCCTGACAAGTCCATGGTGGTGGAGACGAATTGTGAGGTGGTGCTCACGAAGTGCATTCCGATTCACGAGGTCCGAAGCTTGATTAACGAGGCTCGGGTTTTAAACTCGGATCAGCGGAAACAGAAGATAGACGTCTAACCTCCGTGCCACCACTTTGCCACGCAAACACAAACACGCACACACATGCACGCACTACCCGCCATTATTACTTGTAGGCCTCGGGCTTAATGAGCGGGTGGAGGCGGTTTGGGAAATGTACCGCGATGGAGTAAATACTCGACAATTGGACACTTAAACGAGACGGACGGCGGAGCACAGCGCAGGCAAGGCTCACGGCCGCACGTGGCTCCGTTTAACGGCAGGACGAGCATGCCCCCCCGAGCTGGAAGCCACCGAGTACCGTGGGAGATTTCGGTGAAAGTCAGAGCGGCAGCTGTGGGGTTGCAATGCCGGGTCACAGAACGAGCGGCTGATACAAAACATCTGCTTTGGGAACAATTTAAGCTGTTTTACTGCCTACCCGTTAAAGGAATGTCAATGTTTTTTTCCCCCCCTCCTCCTTGAGACTGGACACACTTTAATGCGGCAGCCAGCCGAGACATCAAATTGCATTCTACCAAACGCAAATGTTTGATTTATTAATTTTAGGTTTTCAACAGAGCGATGCGGCTTCCCGTCGGAGTTGCCGAGACGCGCGGAACGTCGCGAAAGTCTGCGGCGATGGCGGCTGCTTTTTCTTACGATTTTTAAAATTTTCATTTCCCCCACTGAACCGTAACGCTCATTTTAAAAGCAAAAAGAAGAAAAAGCAATCGAAAGTGATTGTTAAAAAAATAAAGGCGGTGCAAACACGGTGCCGCATCCTGATTCGAGTGGCGCTTGCGAGCGAGGGGAGTTGTGTGATTGGCACATTTTATGGAGCGTGTCCAAAATTTATTTTACCCAACTTCCGAGAAAAGGGGGACCGGCATTTCACTTTTTCTTTACAATGACAGACTAACATGCCAAATCGCTGCCAGCCTTGAGTTTGAATTCACTTCACGTGACTCACCCGAGAGAATAACAACTCCGATAACTCAATCGGCTAAACAAACCATTTATCCGAATTAAGGACAAATTGGGCTCGCCTGCAAAAGCAGCAGCTCTACACGTGCAAGGGAAAATTGGCGACTTGCAACGCCGATTACGAAATACGTATTAAATGTAAAAATGACGGTTCTTATAATAGCGTAATTGTAATCTTCTTCGTCGTAATATTATTTAAGAATCGAGACTTCTTTGTCTTGTTCCATCTCACTTGCTCTGACCATTACCATATAGGGGGAAGCATGTCCACAGATTTTTCCATACACCGGAAGTAACGTGACGCATGCATCCTAAGCATCACGAACGATTTCAATCGACAAATTGCTCCACGCCTAACGCCACGTCAACTATCAACACACAAACCATGGACTGCCATGCCGCCACCTGTGCAGTGGACATCCAATCCAACACCACACCCTCCATTGTCATGCCACCCAATGGCATGACAAGCTGGTGTCGATCGGGTCGTCTGGTATGCCACCCAACAACCCAGCACATGAACCACCCCCCCCCATTCCACGCCACCCACTACTATGCAATGCAACCCGATGCTACATTACACCCCATGGAATGTAGTACGACCCAACACCACACGAAACCATCCAATCTCAAGCTACCTATCACTCTACCACACCAACACACAAACACAACACCACCCCCACTGCTACACTGCTGCTATACCATGCCACCTAATACACAATTCCAGTCATTCCACGACACACACGAACACGGCATATAACATAACACACCATACCATCCCTTTGCCACAACGTGCCCCATTGAACCTTTCCTCCTTATCACATCAATAACGGAGGGTTACGATGGAATAGGCTCATAACCCACGTGTACATACATATTTAAGATAACCCATGCAAACTTCATTGCAATGCTTTATAATCCACTGTTAACGCGTTGTACTGTATCATCTGAGAAAAAGAGCTTCATAGCTCATCGGATTCCTCCAGTCTTAAATAAAGATTCTGATTCTGATCTCACGCCATCAAAATACCACACGAGTCCATTGCCTTGTTACTCATCACACCCGCCCGTCACACCCGCCCCGTCACACCCGCCACCGTCACACCCGCCACCGTCACACCCGCCACCGTCACACCCGCCCCGTCCCGCGATCATGGTACCTGGCCGCACGCCGTTCTGCGCTGGTCCTTGGGCCACGTGCCTCGTGGCGGTCGCGGGGCCCAGCCGCGGGCTCGTCGGCGGAGCGGCCAGGGGACACGCCGAGAGGCCGCCTCCGTTGCTCGCCTGAGAGGTCGTCACCGTGGCGATGGGGACGGTCACCGTGACAGCCCTGCTGCTGGTGCAGCTGGTGCTGCAGCTCGAGTTGGCGGAGCCGACCGGGGGCGGCAGCTTCTGCTGGGGAACCGGCGGCGCCCTGGGACTGAGGAAAGGCGGCACAGTTCCACCCGGGGTCAAGGCTCCGGAACGTGCTGATCAGATGGGCCGTGCGGTGCGTGGGAATGACCAGCGGATGGCGTGAGACTGATTCGTCGCGGCGTGAGAGCAGTGGTGGGTGGGGGAGGGGGCAAGGGAAGTGACCAGGTGGGGATTGGGGGCAATAGCTATGCTCAAAGTATGATTAATATAATAAGTAACAAAAATACTCGTGACTGTGGGAGGAGCAGAACGTTCATCGCAAGGCACTGTGCGGAATTCGGAAGGTATCGTTGCGATTCTGTAAGGGGGCTCTCCCGGTGTGTTTTCGGGTTGTACCGTCCAACGTTTCGCTCCATGTGCTGGGAGCCTCTCTTTAGAAACTGAACAACGCTCGGTGAAACTCAAAAAATAACAAGTCGGAGAGCTGTACAATTTGCCTGCGAAAACCCTAGGCCATAGTATTTTCCAGCAGGTGCCGTTCAACGCTCGTAAAAGGGGGCAATGCTTATCATGAAAGCTTTATGCAGCCATCACGAGCTTCCAATGGCACGCAGAAACGTGTAAAAAGGCATCCAGCCTTTGCGCATTATGCAACAAGCATCAGCAGTTCCTGAAGAGGTGCCAGTGTTCTATTCGTCTTAGATCACCGTCAAAATAAATGAGCAAATGTGACCGACTGACCAGGCAGCGGTGGATACAGGCAACTGTCGACCGGCTTCGTTCTGATTAGGACTCATCAGTACAGGATAGTCCCTGCTGCAACGTCTGCCTCGGGAAACCACGAACCATTACGGGGCCGAGTGCAATCCTAGAAGGCGACCGACGCCTTGTATGGCCTTAGAAGGCAACGTCCAGCCGCAAAGCAGGGCGAGTACACAACCTACGGATGGCGTTGCGCAACTACGACTGCGAAGCGGGGTGTAAATACGGGGCATTGTGCACATTTTACAAGGCCCAAAGTACAAGACCCAGATGGAAAAACACACCGTGGAGCTCCTTGCGAGGCACAGCGGAGGACAGCGAGCAGGTGTCTTTGGGGGCCAGGTGGCGCGTGCCTACGATCATGGTGCTTCGTGGGAAAGAGTTGGTGGGTCACCGAGATTTAATCAACTCCCCAAGCCCGCTGGACCGCAAGGTAGCCAGAGCGTGGCAGTGTACGCAAAGTGGGTTTGTGCACCAATCTGTGCAGAGCATTGTGGGTGAGTCTCCCCTCCGCCCCCCTCCCCCCTCCAATGTGTGCGATGGGTTTTGTAACCAGTTACGACGGTCTCCGGCCACGGCTAACGTCGGTGGCGAGTGGATATCTGCACCGGTACTGGGCTCTCCTCCACCCTCTTCGCGAGGCCGCACTGACCAGCGCGCAGTGAAGTGTGTTCAAAGAGAACTTCAGAATCAGAATATTTATTCATACTGAGAGGAATCCGATGAGCTATTAAAAGCTATTTTTTCACAGATGTCCAGTAGGGGCGGGTCAGAACGTTACAAACACAAACAATACAAAAGCGCAATAGGAGTGTAAAGTATAGGAAGGTAGATCGTTTTGCTCCCAAAACAAAGTTAAACAATCGTCATTAAAGCAAAATTGGCTCAACGTGCCGAAGCAAGACCCATCTTAAACACAGATCCTCGGGGCTCAAGGCGAGGCTTCAACTGGCTGAGGGGCTGCACGCTTGTCGCTTGCTGCAGCCCACAAGGCCACCCCCCTTAGAGAACCACATGACACGATCCGCCCCACCACCCTATAAAATTTGCAAAACCTACAAACGACTCCCAAACGACCTCCCCTTCTTCTTGCACGCGTTTTGTCCCACTCATGTGCGACGTCACCCCCCACCCCCACCCCTCTATTGCGGAACTACTGCCGCAGAATCGGCGCGAATACCGAACGCGCTCGCCACGCCATTCGACGACCGCGCGGAGCACCGGGTCAGCGAACGCGGCGACGCGGAGCTTACCGGTTGACGGGCGCGACGTAGTTCCCCGGGAAGACGCCGGCTGTGCCGGTGCGGAGCGACGATCCCTTGTACCACCCGTCCTGGCAGCGCTCGAGGACACGGTACATCTCGCCCTTGCGCAGCTCCAGCTCGTCGGCCTTCTGCGGCTTGTACGGGTACAGCGCCACGAAGCTGTGGGAGAATGATGACGCAGCGAGCGAGGATGAGCGCGGTTGGCCACGTACGGGTGCGAGAGAAGTTCAACATGCATACGTACATTCGTCATAGTCTGCCAAACAAAAAAAAAACACATGGCCCTGAAAAGTTGATCTGAGCGGGAGATGCCAGGCACCATTTGTCTCTCTTCAGCTCTGACACCGGGAGGTCACAGACTGCTGCCGAGGGCAGATCAGGTGCCCAGGTCGGGCCGGTAAGGCTGCTGTGGGAATCAAGTCTGGCAGATTGAGAGGGAACCAGGGTCTGCATGCTTCCGAGAGGCCATGGGAACGTGACATGAGTTTTCGCACTGAGCGATGACGGAATTCTATGATCGCTCGCGAAGTTACGAAAACGCTAAAACTTTTTATTTTATTTGACCAGGTTCAGGCCCAATGAGCTCTATAAGCTTATTTTTCATAAGTGACCTGGATATCACAAATGATAGCTCAACGAAGTGGATTACCAAGTGGACATTTATTGCAGACGAATAATCCCACGGCATGTTTCTAAATGTGGAATAAAAAAATCAGAGCACCCGGAGAAAAATCCACGTAAAGATGGGTAGAACATGCAAACTGCAAATATACAAACGGCAGGGTTGGGATCGAACCCACGACCTTCTGTATACCAGGTGAGATAGTTAACATCTCGCCACCGTGGCTATCGTTTTTCGGGTGTACCTTCGGCTCAAACTCGGTGAATTCTCAATTCCAGGTGGTCCCCAACTCCTTGGGGGTCAGCGCTGGTAATAAAGTTCTTTTTGTCAGATTAGCTCTATACATTATGAAACTATCTCCCATAAAAATTGCAATTATACCCCTCTCTGTCCGGTTCAAAGTTGGGCATCCAAAGGCGTCTCTTTTCCGTAATGGAATTCTCAAAATAAGCACCGCTTCCGCGTGAAAGATAGAGAGGAGGACACGTGCAGTTTATTGGATGAATGTTGCATTATTAATTGCCGAGCATGATGGGAATATCGCACGGAGCGCCTTTGATTGCATGTTCAACAGAAGAGGGGGCCATGTCGCCGTGACCTCGGTGCCCTCATTGGGGGTCACGTCAGTCACCTCTGTGAAGTGTGAACCGCGGCGATGCGTTCTGGAGCCGCCAAGAAAAAATTTGCACGCAATCAAGTGCTTCGCCATCGCTGGAGAGCTGCCAAGTAAAAAAATTACTTAATTATTGACTGGCTTAGCGAAAGATTTGAGAGTATTTTGCTCGGTGTGTCGTACAATGAGCAGCAATTCACGCTTCTGCATGCCCGAAATGATATTCATACTCAGTAATGAATAAACAATGCATTTTTTATAGTGATAAAAGGCTTACTGGGTCAAAAACTGAAATAGATTATTTTTAAATAACAGCAGCGCTCTGAGCGATGGTTTATAGCAAAGGTAAAACGTGTTAAAGTTGCGGGACTGGAAATTCTTGTTTATGCCACTGTTAGCGGAGCGGCTCCCACTCAAGTACACAGGCGATCTGTTGGCTATTTTGGCCTACTCTTCCAAGCTGGTCAGACGTCTTAAAAGAGGTGAGAGAGCACCCAAACTTTGCCACACCACGTGCGACCTAACAATCGATTAACTCGTGTACCCCATTCACACTTCTGGGTGAACAGAGAGGCAGGAGGGGGTTATCTGATCAACTTTACCATAGATTCAACTGCCTTGCCGGGAGAGATCAAATCAAACCGGCGACCTTCAAATCCTAAGTCCAGTGGCGCTAACCACGGCATGATCCCTGAAGGCTTACGGGTCACCCACGGAATTGCCCCTGACAACAACAGAAAATTCGCCGACAGAAGAGAGGTTTCACAGGTCACGGCTACCGATTGCCCCCACCCAGGTTCACCGCACGTCCCGTGACCTGGCGACCATTAGTGCTTCTGTGCAAGACTTCCACCGCAAAGGGGCAGCAGTCACACCCAGAAATCCACACCCCGGATACCAGGTACCACAGTTTGTTTCCATTAAACCCAAAGCAAACATTTCCATTTCTCTTTTGGTAACCGGTTGGCGAGTGCCATCCGTCACACAAATGACACTCTGGGCAAGGCCTTCAAAATAAACCAAGGTGGTCACCTCCCTCCATGCGGACGCCCGAGCAGGAGGGGGGGGGGGGTTTATGCGCGAGGAGCATTGAGGACGGGATCGGGAGATGTCCGGGGTAACTGGCTACCCAGGACTTCATAACCAACAAACTGCCTCTGTCACAGAGATCAGGACTTTGATGAGAGAAGGTGAATGGTGTGAATAAAAAAAAAAAATTCACAGGCAGACGATACAAATAGACGCCGTCAAAGAGTGCGACTGCGGAGTGTTCCAATGAAGCCAACACGGATCACCTTAAATTATTACGATGCGGGGTTATCAACGTTTTGCAGGACACCCCCAACTGATTAACCGCGATGGGGAACGATTTCCAGGTGGCACATCGCAGCAAAGCCACGGCGGTGCGAGATTTGGTGCCGCGGTACCACCGAGCGGTGAGGCCGATTGGGCGACGGCGGTGGGCGGTGAGACGTATCGTTCGGGTGTCATGTTGCGGTGAAGACGATGAGGTGGCACCGGATCGGCTGGTACGGTACGTTGTTGCGTCGTTTAGCACGCATTGCATCGGGCCAAATGGAGCATCGCGTGGGAATTCCAAAGCACGAGGAAATAAGCAGGAAGGAGAGAGGTTTGAGCTGCAGTGTGCGGTGGAAGAATACAGCTCGGATGAGATGCAACCATCAGTGTTGTTGGGGTATGCGGCATGCTGTATTGTTTGATGCTGTCATCAGGTAACGCGTTGTACCGTCAGGTGGCGTGCTGTATTGTTTGGTGTTGTATTGTTTGGTGTTGTATAGGTCGGTGCTGTATAGTTTAGTTTGGTGTTGTATAGTTTGGTGTTGTATTGTTTTGTGCTGCATTCATAATAATAAAAAAATATTTACATGTCGAAAAACCCTTAAATAATCGTTCTAGGGCCCTATGCATGGTACGGCGGAAAGAGCTTAATGTCAACCACGGAAAGAAGAAGCGAGAAAGACGTTTGAAAATAAACAAAAGGAAAGAAAGCCATTTTGAACAGATACGTTTTTTTTGTAAAGTGTCTCAGAAGTCCCCTGACCTCGAAGCGGCAACGAGTTCCAGAGTTTAGGTGCCGCAATTGCGAAGGTAAAAACCAGCCTAAGTGTGCTGCATTGTTTGGTGTTGTATTGTTTGGTGTTGTATTGTTTGGTGTTGTATTGTTTGGTGTTGTATTGTTTGGTGTTGTATTGTTTGGTGTTGTATTGTTTGGTGTTGTATTGTTTGGTGTTGTATTGTTTGGTGCTGTATTGTTTGGTGTTGTATTGTTTGGTGTTGTATTGTTTGGTGCTGCATTGTTTGGTGCTGCATTGTTTGGTGTTGTATTGTTTGGTGTTGTATTGTTTGGTGTTGTATTGTTTGGTGTTATATTGTTTGGTGCTGCATTGTTTGGTGCTGCATTGTTTGGTGTTGCATTGTTTGGTGTTGTATTGTTTGGTGCTGTATTGTTTGGTGTTGTATTGTTTGGTGTTGTATTGTTTGGTGTTGTATTGTTTGGTGTTGTATTGTTTGGTGTTGTATTGTTTGGTGTTGTATTGTTTGGTGTTGTATTGTTTGGTGTTGTATTGTTTGGTGCTGTATTGTTTGGTGTTGTATTGTTTGGTGTTGTATTGTTTGGTGCTGCATTGTTTGGTGCTGCATTGTTTGGTGTTGTATTGTTTGGTGTTGTATTGTTTGGTGTTGTATTGTTTGGTGTTGTATTGTTTGGTGCTGCATTGTTTGGTGCTGCATTGTTTGGTGTTGCATTGTTTGGTGTTGCATTGTTTGGTGCTGTATTGTTTGGTGTTGTATTGTTTGGTGTTGTATTGTTTGGTGTTGTATTGTTTGGTGTTGTATTGTTTGGTGTTGTATTGTTTGGTGCTGTATTGTTTGGTGTTGTATTGTTTGGTGTTGTATTGTTTGGTGTTGTATTGTTTGGTGCTGCATTGTTTGGTGCTGCATTGTTTGGTGTTGTATTGTTTGGTGTTGTATTGTTTGGTGCTGTATTGTTTGGTGTTGTATTGTTTGGTGTTGTATTGTTTGGTGCTGTATTGTTTGGTGCTGTATTGTTTGGTGTTGTATTGTTTGGTGCTGCATTGTTTGGTGCTGCATTGTTTGGTGTTGTATTGTTTGGTGTTGTATTGTTTGGTGCTGTATTGTTTGGTGTTGTATTGTTTGGTGTTGTATTGTTTGGTGCTGTATTGTTTGGTGTTGTATTGTTTGGTGTTGTATTGTTTGGTGCTGTATTGTTTGGTGCTGTATTGTTTGGTGCTGTATTGTCTGGTGCTGTATTGTTTGGTGTTGTATTGTTTGGTGTTGTATTGTTTGGTATTGTATTGTTTGGTGTTGTATTGTTTGGTGTTGTATTGTTTGGTGTTGTATTGTTTGGTGTTGCATTGTTTGGTGTTGTATTGTTTGGTGCTGCATTGATTGCAGCTCGGTGTGCCGTGACCTCTCCCTGCACCACTCACATCTGGATGAGCGGGTACTGCTGCGGAGGCGGCCTTGGCACAGGCACCGCGGGCTCCGTCGTCCCGGCGGCCGACGGCAGCGCGGGACGCGGCAGCGGCATCCCGGGGACCACGGCCGGGGTGGACACCACGGCGGGTAGCGCCTGTCCCTCCTGCGGATGGATGGGCACAGAGGGAGGAGGGCACCATCACAACCTGAAAACACGTCGGAGAGAAATGCACGTTTCGCGCTCCCCGTGTTTTTGTTCTCGCTGGGCCACTCCATTACATTACACGCTCACGTTCGTGCCCCACATACAAGGCCACCTAAATAGTTGCCGAACCACGACATGGACTCCTACCGTGGTTATCTGCCAGCCACCACCTCATTCGCTGCTTGGCGCAGCCTTGGACAAGGCCAGAGCAATGTGTATATTTTATGTGAGTATGTTGAACTTCTTTCGCACCAAACGTAGCCAACCGTGTTTGCTGAACACACAGGCCCAAGGCCCAAAATGCCCAACAGCTAGCAACAAACGGCACGACTAAAGGTGTAACGAATAAGCGTTGATTGAGCAAATTTATAACAACTCGGGGAATATGAACAAACAAAAAAAGTCGATGGGAGGTAATTCCAAAATCGAGTAGTGCACGGGACGGAGTAGAAAGAGAAATGCTTTGAGCTGCAGGGTGGTGGTTGAACAGTGTGGATGACACGAAACATTTAATCTTCCACATGTGTCATGCGGTTCCCTTGGATTTCACACAGATTCGTCCGTCTCCATGATGATAGATAGCAAGACACCACGTGTGAGGAGATAACGATGGCAGGCCTGTTCTATTGAACACATCTGAGCAAAACGTTTGGATTTTCCTTGCTACTCAAAAGGACTTGCAACCCAAGGACACGAGTTTTTTTTCACCTGGAAAATACCTTGAGATGGAACATTCCATTGCAAAGGTGGCCAGAGTGTCGATCGACACACGTTCATTCGTAGCTAACACGCAACGATGATAAGCGTGCACAAAAATTTTAAATCTGTAACTCATACAGTAATGCATCGGATAATGAATATGATGGCCAGTCAACACACGTAATAAATACATTGTCATTATGACGAGGGATGACATTGTACACCCGACTCTGGAATTAGACTGCATATGAACCAGCAGAGGAGCAGACGGGATGGGAAGTATCCGAGGTAAAAACCCCTTTGTGCCAAATTTTATCTCGTGGATTTTCCCCTAGCTCCTCCGGATTTTCCCTCCACATTTACAATCAACATCACGTGTTTCGAGTATTTGGCTGCTATAACTGTCCACATGATGATGAGCCACTTCGTTGAGCTATCATTTGTGGCCAGGTCGCTTCTGAAAAAAATAGATATTTAGCCTAATGCACCTTACCTAATCAAACACATTTTTAAAAAAATAATTAAATACACAACGTGTTTACGTGCGGAGCGTGCCGGTGACCACCATACGAATAAACGTTACACGTCGCTCGTCTATCGACCCCCCCCCCAACCCCATTCCCGGACAACAACACACACTTTCTAGCGCGTCGCGGAGAGCCATGCAAAGGGGTCTTCTTTCACCGAAGTGCCGCAAGCCGCCTACGCCCGGCGACCCGTGACAGCTAAAGCACCCTGGGGGAAAGGAACGGCGAGCAGTCCCCGTGACCAAACGGGCGCACGTATTGTCACTCGACATTTTTCGGCAGCAGCTGGAGGGAGGGGGGCAAAGACAGTGGCCTTCAAGAGGCTTCTCGCGCGAACAAAAAAAACGCTCCCTCGCCGCGGAAACAAAGAGCCTTCGAAAAAGGAGGAGCACTTATGTAGCAGGGAAGGGGTTCGTGAAGTGGGCCTTTCACCGTGGCCAACAGTTTTTGCGGCATCCTCCTGAACGTTGCTTCTGACAGTCGCATTCGTTGAATTGCCGTCGCACGAAGGTAAAAGAAAAGATAGTTTCCTGAAATATTTTAACGAAAAATATAATCCACTTATGTTTTGGGATTATACCGAACGCTGTCGAGATCATCTGAATATCGTCAATGAATAACTCCGTCAGATGATCACGTGCTAACGTAACAATACTGGAATGAACGTTCATCACAAAAATTGGAAAATTGATAGCAGACGCATTTCTGCAGGAATGCAACTTCCTCGCCTTCCGAGGGTCACGACTCTCTCTCTCTCCATCGTTAGCCTCAGCAAAATTGCGTTTTTCTAATTAAAATGTAATTTTCCTTTCAAATTTCATCAGGTTTTTTTTATCCCCCTCCCCCCAATTTCCATCACTCCCACCGCAACCGACACATGGGAGGTGCAAACGGTTCCATTTTTTCTAAACGAGTAAGGAAGCTTCTATTTGCATTTTAGCTGCAGGAAATAAATTGCACCTTCAAAATTGCTACAAATTACAGACCATTATATCGTTCCCCCAGCCGCCTAAGAGAAATGCGCCATCCATCTGCGTTTGGTCTCATTATTTTGAAAAAGTGGCGAAATGTCGACTATCATAATTCCCACTGCATCATTGGCCGTCACATCGTGCTTCATCATTCATTAAGCAAATGATACATCTGATCGGACATGCACACATTCATCGCGACGGGGGACATGGCCGTGATTTACATGTGCAGCCCCACCAGCTGTAAGCGCGGCGAGGTCAATTGAGAAACGAGGGCCGCTATACGATACACGCCACACTCTCGATATTCCCCATAACGTTTGTTTATTTAAACCGTATACTTAGTGTAAGCGCGGGAGTTGTGGCGCAATGGACCATGGGCTGCGTTATCAGAATATGCATCTGTACTGGAGGAATCCGATGAGCTATGAAGCTCTTTTTCACATGTCCAGTAGCCACAGATTTCCAGTAGTTTTCACAGATGTCCACCAATCCACCTGTGAGTTTGAATCTCCGCCACGGCTAACCATCGGTGGTTAGTGATATCTGAACCGGTGCTAGGCACGCCGCCCCTCCCTCCACCACCAACGCCCCTACCGGCTTCATTAACACGCGCTAACCAGCGTGGGGAAGTATGGTCAAATACCCACCATGAAAAGTACCGTATATAAACCTCATACCTCATGATATTAAGTTACATTAGGAATACTTTTTTCACCAAGTGAGAGCCTGCTTAGACAAGGAGTGTATGTTGTGCTAAAATAAATCTAGCATTGCCCTTGAAGAGTATTCGGTTTTACAACGCCGTCCTTTTTACGCTCACAATTGACAATTCCTCGACCGAGATATGGGGGGGGGGGGGGGGGGGGGTAAACTACAATAACAGTTGCTCAAAGGCCTGCAAGAATGAGCTCTCTCTAAAATGTCTCTGTGATTGATGCAAATGAAGACGGGCGAGCACTGGGGGACCGGCCACCTGTGCGGCGTCTCTCTCGTCTGTCTGGGATAATGAGTGGTCCATGCGCTGTGCAAAGCAGAGGGCTCTCGTTGCCTTTGGAATCACCCCCGACAGCATTAATTTGCACCATCTCTCGCCGACATCAAACACCTCAAAACTAATTTTCTTCCATCCCGTAACGGGAGACTTTTCCTCACGACTACTACGACAACAACAACACGCTACGATATTGCATTCCTCGGCGACTTGTTTTGAGTAAAAACAGATCTAAAAAGACACGCGCGCACGCAAGCACACGCCGGCTTACGGCCCGTGCTCGCTAGGACAAATAAGGACAGGAGGAATGTGGGTTATTCGCCCCATTTTTAAAAGGTACCATCTGTGAAAACAGGAAGCGTCGGGGCAGAAAGGCCCTGCCCGTCATACGGGGCAGGGCTTACAGCCCAGCGACCGCGCTCGTCGCGAGAAGGCCGCGCGCCGCCGCCAAGACGCAAGAGACCGCGTGTCGCGTCCCGTGTCGCGTCCCGTGTCGCGTCCCGTGTCGCGTCCCGTGTCGCGTCCCGTGTCGCGTCCCGTGTCGCGTCCCGTGTCGCGTCCCGTGTCGCGTCCCGTGTCGCGTCCCGTGTCGCGTCCCGTGTCCACTAGAGCCGCTAAGCGACTGGAAACATCGCAGCCGCGACCTCCAACGAGGAGTAAGTAACGGAGGGACGGCCTGGGAAAGTGGACGGCAACGTGCCCTCGTGTTTTCATCATCATCATCACCATCCGTCAGCCAGGATCAATCCACTGCTGGATGTAGGCCTCACACCCAGGCTGTTGCCACCTCTCGCAGTTCTGCGTTGATGTAGTCCAGGACACGTTGCACTCTTTGGGAGCGACGCTGTCGCCATTCTTGCCAATCGACCATCGTCTCCTCGCAGCGACGCATCCTGCACAAGCTCACTTGCTTTTCCTTACGAACAGCTTGAATGTCTTTAACCTGCGTGTGTTCCCTAATCCACGTGTTCCCCTCATCCTGTTTCTCTCGGGTAATCCCCAGTGTGGCGCCTTTGCATTTTACCGCAGTCAATAGTCAGCCAGTGCAACTGGATGATTCCGCTCAAAATTGACAATGGCACGAGGTAGGGTCAAGCAGCCAATGGGGCTCGTAATGACCGTGTCGGAGTCGATGACCCAACACTGCCGAGTTCCTGAGATCGAATCCGGGCTTCAGCCACCCGTGATTAAACCGGGTTCTCAAGTCAGCAAGTTTGACAGCCTCAACTCACCGCACACAAAAAAACACCTCCACTGCCCGAGAGTTACACGTTAAACACTCGTGGGATGAAAGCCATGCATTGTATCACGTTTAACAGAACGTGGCCGAGCTACTACCAGGTGCTGCCGAAGGGAGGCTTATTGAAGTGGCCCTTGTAACGTTCCTGGGAGATGTCTTCTTCTTGGGGTTGTTCTGACTTCACTAAACCAGGCTCTGCCGAGTGAAAGTATTTAAGGAATTCCAGGAGGAGTGAAGGATTCCAAGATGAAAAACGACGCCTCTGTTTTTAACTCTGGAGCAGCAACTGGGACATGCGGTGCAGTATTTTGCGATTCAATTCGAGGGACATTAAATATTCCCAACGGGACAGAATGAAACGCGGCCGTGCAATCCACACAGTGTCCCAACGTCAGATATTCGCAATGTACGTCATGTAAAAAAATAAATCAAGGCCTCGCTGGAAAGGGCATCTTCAAAAAAAAAAACTCAAAGAATGTGCCGCTTTGTTGTTAAATTTATGCACGCGTGGGGTTGACGCTTCTTGGTTACATAAAAGCGGCAGGACAAAAAAAAAATCACCCAAGAGTTACCCCCCTTGTGACATTTAGTCCCTTGAACACAGCGGTGTCGGTGAACTGGGTTACAAACGCTTGTTCGGTTCACCGGACAGACATCTCAGCAGAGAGCCATTGCATCCCGACGATGAAGAAGATATCGGCAATGAGCAAAAGGGCTCTTCCAACTCTTCCGACACGCAATGTGACACGCCGGGAATTGAAGACGACGAAGCTTCCAGCACGTGGAACGATAACCTCGGCGTCATTACCGCCGGCGTCGTAGGCTTTTGCACGACCGAGAAATCCTCCACGGTAGTTGTTGCCTCTCGTGCATAACATCACGGGCAGGTCTTTAATTCCCACTCTGCTCTGGTTATTCTTCTCTTTAAAAACAAATGTGTAGCTTCAAGCAAGACTCAAACTGTGGACTCTGTAACCCTAGCCAAAACTGGATTGTCAGACTGGATTATTGGCGAGCGTGCTGACCATTAAGGCCACCCCAACCGCCAGTTTTCACCAATGTCCATCTACCCTCTCGGGCCAATTAAAGTTGCCAGGTTTGGGCTGGGTGCATTCCCGTGCGCAGCGCCTCTGGTTACATAAACAGCAGGTGGGACGAGGACGGCCGTGGGGGGTTTGGGGGGGGGGGTGTTGCGGCTACAAAGTGAAATGCGCGCAAGGGATGTTTACAGGGTACAGGTGTCCTTTGGAACACACAGCAGCTGGAACCAGCGGGTGGGGTGCTTTTTTGTCTTCTCACAAACTTCAAGCCGAGAGGGCTTTAACGCGAGACGAACAAATTACCAGAGACTCGAGAGAGGGGCGCACAAGAAAGGTAAACACGCCGATGGATGGATATGAATCTCCTGTCCAAGTTTCCAAGCTTCCACGCGTGATGGGGCGGGCAAGGTGATATAGCGGCAACACTTGTGCATTGTTTCGCCTACGTCCGTGAAATTTGCTCATTCTCCCCCTGTTTTGCATCGGTTCTTTTGATCCAGGCAATCCAATTTCCTCCCATAGCTGCACAAAACCAAGTGACTGGTACAGCGTTTGGCCAATATTCCCAAATGCTCAAAACCGACCTGCAGGGTGCTCGATTGATATTGCACAAACAGCGACGTCTTGCCCCCTCTGGTGAAAACCTGGACGGACCCTCCTCAAGAAAAGTCTTGAGACGGAGGCTTTCCCCGGGGCGAGCCGAGTGTTAGTTAATAATGAAGTGGGATCTAAGGACTACGGTGAAACGTGCTCAACGACAAATGGAATTGAAGCAGGAATAGTAGGCGAGAGGTGACGGGGTGCTTGAATTAATGTAGATTATGCGAAGGTGGAAAGACACGAGGAAATTTCGAAGTCAAATGGATATCCAGACATATATATGGACGGACAGATGGATAAACAAACAGGTAAATAGACAGTGGGGCAGACAGATACACCCAGACAGAGACTAGACAGATGAGATGACATAAAAGAAAATTGGAATAAAATCAAATACTTTTTTGTAATAATGTTACCGAAGGAAAAGCAATATCTTGACATTTCAGCCGACTGGCCTGCTGCTTCAGGAAATATTGAAGTTAACACAGAGCGAGAGTGAGAACCTTCAGGAGTCTAGCGGGGTCTGCGATGTTAAGCGACGAACTCGCTATCTTGCAATGAGCGACCAGCTTTTTTCAACATTTTTCACGTACACAAGCAGATTGCCTGCAGTGTAATGAGTTAGTACACCTTATTTATGATGCTGACATCTAAAAAGGCGTGTATGCACCACAAAAATCGCTCTGTTTGCGCAACAAAAAAAAAAATTTGCTCGTGGAAATCGCAAGGCTTTGTCCACATCCATTATTGTGCAGCAAGGGGCGTGTTTGGGCCATCCAAATAATAATACCAATTTAAATGTATAAAGCGCCCCTTAAAGAATCATTCGGAGGGCACTCAGTGTCTGGCCCGCCCCTTTCCCTCAGTAGCTCCACCCCCCTGCACCCCCCCCCGCCCCCACCCCCCGCCCCCACCCCCCGCCTCAATCCATAGCAGAAAACCAAATCACAGACAGACTTACAATTGACGTACAGAGAGAAAAGCAGACATACAGGCAGATATTTAGATCGACGGATAGGCAGAGGTTGCAACCGGGTACCCGATACCCGTACCCTACCCGATACCCGGCTACCTGTACCCGGCCGGGTATGGGTACGGGTAGCCGTTTGCGACCCTGGTGCGGCCGGGTACGGGTAGGCCGTGAGTCACTGGTGAGTAACCGTTTGTCACTCATTTCTGGTGCGGCCGGGTACGGGTAAGGAATCAAAACCAGTTTGCGACCTCTGCGGATAGGCACACAGGGAATGTGGAGGATAGGTAAGCAGACAGACAAAGACAGAGAGAGATAGTCGGACAGATGAGACTCAAGAGAGACAGACAAAAAGATAGAAATATACATATATATACAGATAGAAACACATGTAGACGGACAAAGACAGAGACGGGCAGATAGATGCGATTGTAAGAAAGATTGAGCGCCAGATTCATAGATTGCCAGACAGATATAAGACGTTAGATGGATACGCAGACGAACCGACCGATGATAATTTTAGACATACATGCATAGAGGCGACAGACAAACAAAGACCGCCGGACGGGCAGACGGCACAACAATGAGCATGGAGGCGCGACACCGAGCACATGGCCATGCATACCGTGGGGCCAGACGGAGGAGCCCCCTCTGTGAGGAAGGTGACGGGCGCTACCGTGGTAACTGGGCTAGTGGGGGCGGTTGTCACGATCAGTCCCGTCGTCCCAATGTAAATCTGGGTGGGGGAAACAAAAGTAAAAATGAATAAATGAAATCGTGAAAATCAAGCACACGGACGAGAAGGACTCCGTACAGCTCTGCCACGCGTGCCGTTTGGCACGACGTCCGACGTTTCGTCAAAGCCGTTCTTTTCAATGACGAAAACCCAGCCGTGCTGAAGGACTGGATTTCTTTCTGGTCTATAGAATATTGTCAGGATGAAGAGCAACGTATATTTGCATCCCACTTGGGTAAATACCAAGATAAAGAGGTGGACAATATGCCTCCCATTTCAGTCCAACCATTTTCAGCATCGTCTATAATTTCAGGAGCATTGGTTCAACACAAGCAACCTCCAGAACAGTTGACAGTCTCATCAGTAGAGGAGTAAGGCTTGCTTGAACCGATTCTAGTACATTGCCACATGATTTATATAGGCAAGGCCATGGGATGTGTTGATGGGATGTGTACAAAATAATGTTTTATTTTATGGGGTGGGACAGAAATGGGAAGGTGTATTGTAACCGTATTTATTTCTGTCCCTACATTCTCCACGACGACGCTAACATATTAACAAGACTTTCTCTACGCTCGAGATGCCCGCAACATTCGCAACTCCCTTCCGCTTACGTACACAACAGCAATACAAATCCACCTTCCTTTATTTCGCTTTCAGGCGGCAACGTGAGTCATGCGCGCCAAACTGAATGGCTTGCTGATGCAGAGAAGGTCACGGCGGGCTCGTTATTATTAGATCATCGGTCAAACCCACGAACAAACGCGCACATTTAAAAGTCCCCACGGCCGCTTCACGCAGTACGATATATGCGCGCGCGCACGCGCACACACACACACACACAAGCCTGGCAGTATTCTCCCAAAAGATAATCTGGCCAAGAACGAGAGACCGCCAGCCAACGGCGTCTGCCGCACGCTGGTCCTTTACAACGTCGAGCAGTTTCTCACCGATCAGTCTATCAACGGCTCTGGTCACCCGGCGTGCATTCTATGAACACCCACTGACCGTGATATGATGTCCCCCCCCTCCCTACCCACGGGCACCTTATTATCCTCCGACAAACACGGACAGAGTGGGTGTTATAGAATGCAGGTGTGATGGCAAATTAGTTCTTGCAAGCCAGTGGCACGCATGCACTCACGCATAAGCACGCTCACATGTACGCGTGCGCCTATATAAACAGGCCACGAGAGATACTACACTTGCAACGCTTTCAAACCAAGGTTGTTAAGAGCATTGTTACATTAGTTCTGTCCGTTGAATGCACGGGGGCACGATAACCCTTAAGGTGTTCCTATTTGACAAAACTGTCGTGGATAGTTGTGCTGCGGTTCAGGATTTCCATAAGTTTATTTTGTTTTAGAAAACTCAAGAGACCAGGATAGTCTAATTTGCAAGCATAATTGGTCTGCATCCGTTTGCCAGTAGGGGCGACGATTGCTGCCATGTGCATCATCCCAACTGGGTAAGGCTGCGTTGGGAATTTTTCGAATTTGGCAAATTTGGACTCTGCCGCCGAAAACACAGCCGCACGACTCTGGCGATCGACGCCGTGGGAATAATTCGCCGTGAAGCAGACGTCGCCCACTTTGACCGCGAATACACGCGGCGGTAACGGGAAGCGGCGGCCGCAGGCTTCGAAACAGCGGCGAACCTCGGCAACAAGCGGCGTAGCGCGCCTACGGCTGGGCCACCGTCACCGCCCTACCAAAGGAAGTTTGTCGAAATTGATTAGAAGGCTTGCCCAAAAACACGTGGGAAGCAGAATAAAAAGAAAACGGACGCCAGCGCTAAAGAAATATTTCTCCGGGCGTCCGTCCCCTGGTGGCAGCGCGCGAGCCTCGCTTCCACCGGCTTCACCTCCCGATGGGCAATGCTACGCGACGACGTCACCTCGCGGCGTCGCGCGGCGATGTGGGGCGGCGTGTCGCTGTGCGTCTCGAAACGTAACGTGATTATCCTGTTCACCTCGTCTCCACCATTACATTCATATGTACCGTTCTTAATTCTTACTATGGTAATCATCATGATGATGGATGATGAAAAAGTAAGAGAGCTTTACCCCTGAGAATGGCAAAAAAAAGGGTCCCTTAGCGAATTTTACTGCCGATTAAATATTCCCGCGCACGTTGGGAAGCATTACAGAATCCGTTGCGTACGCACGATTTTTTCTTCCTTGGTACATTTCTCACTCGTGTACTATGCGCGGCCTCAATAGCCATGGCCAGGAAGGTGAAGTCACCACTTTATCCACTGCGAGAGTGGTGGAAGGAGCGTTTCAATGTCTGAGCCACGGGCTGCTGGACACAGCACTAAACATGAGCGGAAATACCCCCTCACCCGTCCGGGATGGCGTTATGTAAACAAAGCACCGCCGCTAAAGAGCAATGGCTTCGTATTAACCAAAGAGAGACATCTCCAGCTATCCATGTCAAAGCAGATTGCTCGGAGGCATTTGTATCTTTCAGCAGGATCAAGTTTTAAAAAGCTTTTAGCCGGACACATCAAATGCACGCCCCTGCTGCTAGCTTTTAATGTGATAGAAACACTAGAGCCGTTCACAGATGCAGCCCTGGAATCTGATGGGAAAGTTGTGACCACGGCATGGCACCGCATGCTCGCATGGCCGTGATCGATGCCGTTCGCAGTTGGCACGAGGCGCTTTGTGTGTACCCGCAGGTGGCTGCGTTTTGGAGCGATTGCGCCGTGCCCGCCCACCGGCCGACTTAAACCCCTCGCGCGTTCCAAGGCTCAACTGACAAAAGCGATTCTGCTTAACAAATTGCAGACGTGCAACTACAACAGCACCGCACAATGAGGACAGAACAAGCGCTACAACGATAAGGTCAATCTAGCGTTCCCTGATAGTGTTGGTGAGGATGAACCAGATATGGGACGTTATCTTATCATTGTTATTGTAACATTTAAAAATAACCCGCCAGGTGGCTCGGCCGGTTGGGTGAGCTGTGCACAAATTAAAATGTTTCGAGTTCAAATCCTCGCCCATCACTCCTCCCATTTGAGAAGAAAATCACTTTTATTTGATGCCTTTTACAGGGCTATTCCTCGCTAGCAAGACGACTTTTACATTTACCGTTCACCAACGATCACCCCCCTCTGCTGCCCATCACTTTGGAACACAAGCGTATACCCCCCCCCCCCCGCCGGCCCATAGCACAGCTGAAATCTTAACTTCCCCAAGTGAAGTCGAATGACTCTTGTCCAGAGGGCACGAAGGCACGGCTAAAAAAAGCCAGCCTTACCTTTGTACTCGGGGCAAAGAAAACAGGCCTTCATCCTCAGCTTCACATGTAACTTTTGACATTCACGTAATCACGTATATCGCGACAGTCATCTCCCAAACAGGAGTGGTACACAAACGATTGTATTCATAAGCTGCTGGTCCTCGCAGTGGACAGAGTAATTTGCCAGATGAATCAATTCCCCCCCCCGCCTCCCCCCCCCCCCCGCGTGTCTTGGTTGTTTGTTTCTTGCGCACTCGAGGTGAAAGCTTCAACCCGAAATCTACAGCTGCGGCGACGTATCAGCGAATTGCAATGTCCCCCTGATTTGCACGAGGAACCCACACCGGTGATAACAATGTTGTTGACAAGCCGCTATCGTGGGGCGGTCGCGATGATGGTAGGGTCGCCACCACCTCTGGAGGTACGAACAAAGAACGAACGAGGAATTCTCATGAGAAGAAGACTATCTCACAAGAGCGGGAGAGGTTTGAGCTCCACGTGAAAAGCGTCATCTTGAGTTGTGTATTTATTATTATTAATACACAACTGACAACAGCCGAGTCTTTTATTTGCCCTGGAAGATTAACAGATTTCCGAGGGCAGCCACTGATCAAACAGAGGACGATCGTGGGAAAAACCAGGTCAGGTGGCAACCCTAGATGACGATGATGATGTCGACAATTATGACAACAACAACAATGATGATGTTGTTGCTGTACATAACTACAATGATGATATCCGCAACAAAATGACACCAACAGCAATAACACTGACGACGACAACAACAACAATGATAATACCAGTGGTGGAGACAACAATAGCAACGATGATTACAACAACACCCACCCCACCCACCTGGGAGGGGGCGCTTGACGACAGCCCGTTCCCCGTGGCGGCCGCCACGATGCGCGCCGCCGCGGCCGGGTTGCTGGACGAGATGAGCACGGGCGCGCTGATGTCGCACGAGTGCCGGTGCTGGTGCGCCGCCTGAGCCTGCGCGCCCGCCCCGCTCGCCTTGTTCGACATGGTGAGCGACGTGAACGAGTGGCGCTTCTTGGCGTTCTTGCGTCCGGCGTCGCCCGCCGTGGCCGACGCGACTGCGGCGGCCGAAGAGGTGACGGAGGAGGAAGAGGAAGAAGAGGAGGAGGATGCGGAGGATGCGGAGGAGGTCGACGGCTGAGGCTGGCCCAGCGCCTCGCCCAGCGTGTGGATGTTGGCCGATTCGAGGCCGAGCAGTAGCTTGGCCATGGTGTTAAACTACAGGGGGGGGGGGGGGGGACATAGGGGGGGGGGGGGGGGGAGCGCGCAGCTCATTAAGCTAATCTTTCTTTTAACTAAACTATTCAACTATTTTTATTTTACCAGGTAAGGCCCATTGAGCGAGCTATGTTGCTCTTTTTCAGAAGCGACCTGACCCTCACAGCCAAGTGGCTCGTCACACGGACATTTATAGCAGCAACCACAACCCCCCCTCTTGCGCAACAATACACCTCCAGCAAGAACTCCACTCTCCATATTGCTGAGGTTTTTATTCTCATATATATACTTTCTAACCGAGGTCGAAAGCATTGATGCATGAGCCCTGTCCGTCCGTCTCTCCATAGCGGAGCTGGCTCTAAAACTCTTGTGAAGATGAGCAAAAAAATGAGAATGCACCTGCAGTGCAAAGTCGTGCTTCGATTCGGGACGTTACCCCTCCCTCTTAAAAGTCGGCCGCGCCGATCAAAGTCTTGGTAGCCAAATCCCAGGGACGGAAAGCAGAGCCAAAAAAAAATGCAAATGCACGTTCACTCTCGACAGCGACCCGTCGGCATCCGTACCACTAATTAAACACTCTCCAAGACGAGCACACGTTGGAAAGCAATTACACGCGCAATCGACGCGTAGGCATGATTTCATTACCGGGTTGTTTAAACGTGGACGGGCGGGGGGGGGGGAAATGCCTGGAAATAGCAGGGGTTTGTCGGCTGTACTCGAAATGTGAATGTTGTTGTGGGTTTACTCTCCAACACACCGGTGTGCTGAAGTACTAACTAATTGGCACGTTTTGTTTACGTCACAAACCTTAATAATTGTCTGCGTCGGGTGGTGGCGGGTTTAACGACACATTTACATGTACGGGATCTGAACCAAGCAACCTTTATGAGTGTTTGTGGGCTGGGGCTATGAGGCAGGGAGGAGGTGCAGCGCAGCACTGGAGCAGTGCTTTGAGTGTCATTCACCCTCCGATGGTCTAGATCCTGCACGGCGCTATACAAACGCAATGGCTGTTCCACACCAATGCCCTTGCATGCACGCATTTTTCTCCAAGTGCTCTGGCTTTTTTTTCCCAGACTGCCGGATAATTATTAAACGAATTGGCCAAACATCCAATTGCACCCCCCCCCCGCCCGCCCGCGCCCCCCTCAGTGAAATGTTCCTGGGTAAATAAAGGGACCAATCAGTGTTATGACCACCGTTCAAATTATTTCCTGCTGCAATGGAAGGATTTTGTGCACGATTTGAATGAGCTGGCGCAGGAGGCTGAATTCAGAACTCGGCGTTGACAATGGTGAAGCACGGGCCGGGCGATGAAGACGGTCCTGTGGGAGATGTTGGCCGTGAACCAGCGATGGATGCTAAACGGGCCCTGCGGGGTTAATAAAACTTTGCACAAACAACAAGAATGCACGATAAAAATAGTAATCGTCCGATATCACTGCTTACACCTGCACAGGGCTAATTAAGACGCATGTGCCTGTCATAAAAACAAAAGTCGACCGTACCACTTCTACAGGAAGGAATGGGGGGTGGGGGGGGGAGTTCAGTTTCATTTCACTTGCTGGCCCGCCCATGCTGGACATCCGTGAAGAAGAGCTCCATAGCTCATTGGATTCCTCCACCTGCAGTCGAAATAAAGATTCCGATTCCGATTGAAATATCCAGCCGGAGCCGCCGTGTAGCTTTGGTCTCGCCTGTGCTTCATTAGGAGTTTACCATACACAGTTTTCCACTGGCACATCAGGGCCATGCTACCAACAAAAACCGTTAAACCAAACCGTGAAACTGTGGACCAGAGGTCGTAAATGGGTTTTGATTCCTTACCCGTACCCGTACTCGGCTGCACCAGGGTCGCAAACGGCTACCCGTATCCGGCCGGGTATCGGGTAGGGTACGGGTATCGGGTACCCGGTTGTGACCTCTGCTGTGGACTAACGCTACGCAGGGGTGGGGAGCTGGGGTGGGGGGGAAGCAGGGCAAGGGACAGGGTTAGTTATTTTCGTCAGTATCCTTGAGCGCGTGACCCGGGCCGTCGAAAGGTTCGTTGTGCGCGCGACACGTCAGCGCCGAGGCTCTGGTCCTGCGGTGGAAAACGCACCGCGCGCCTCCTGCGCCGTGTCAGGCTGGGTCGGGGGGGACGGTCCCGCTGCAGCTCGGTTCTACAGTGCCAGAGAGGCGACGGTATAATTTCTTCGGGCGCCCGTCACCTTACCTCCACAAACGAGATCGGGAAGATTCCAATTTTGTCTCCGAGCATCCCCTCGGCCCAGTTCTCATCCACGCGCCGGATGACCGTGAGCACCTCATCCTGGCAGATCACACGCGGGGAAGAGAAAATGTATTCCGGTCAGCATTGGGATCAATTTGGCCTCTTGTATATTAATGACACGGTCCACGCCAGGTACACACTGCCGAGCGGAATAGACTTCTGGATCTGATTCTGGGCAACGACTGTCAGAATTCCAGAATGGTGGCTGATAACCTGAGAACCGGTAAAATTTCAAAACCTTGTAGATTACGTGCGGCGATCCATTGACCAATAACCCACTGATTTCTAATGACCCACCCTCTTACTTTCTGCTAAACAGGGGTTTGAATATTGTGAAAGCAATGACTCCATATCTTACAGAGGAGTGTTTAAATATTTAACCCGTTCATTGAGATTGGTGGGTGACGTGTAGAGGCTTTAAAATAAAACGTCTTTTTTTTGTACTAGAATTTCTCCCGATTCTATAAAAGGATCACCACCCTTTAGATTTTATCAGAGACTTGGGCACGTAACTCCCTTCCATCTCTCAGCACACTCAGCATTACATTTAAGTGCGCACGCTCCCATTGTCTGCATGCCCAATGAAACCGTTGCGTAGGCCTGCATACAAAAACAAACATTGTGTATATATACACACAGGAGTACAATTAATCAATTACCCCTTGCTCGCATGTCAAGCAGATTGGCGAGGAGGCGAGGAAAACCTGCTGTGGCCAAAAACACACACAGAATCGTTAGCTGCTAGTTTTGCCAATAACAAGCGGGGGTAGTCTGGCCAAGTTGGGCTGGTTTTATTACTTACGCCTGGAAGCCTGAGCTAGCTACATTATAAAGCCGCACGGGGCTTTGTCGAAAGCAATGATATGAAGGGGATACCTTGAAACAGCCTTTTGGGTATTTATAAGAGGCTTTTGAAGTGGATGAATACAACAGAGGATTAATGGGTTGAAACGGTCGGCAGGGTGGAGCATGCGGCAACGCTTGCACCTCACAGGAAGGAGAAACCGGGTTCGAGTCCTGACTTGGGGCGTCCCTGCGCGGAGTTTGTTTTTACGTCCCTGCCCCCCCCCTCTGCACGGGTTTTCTCCCATGGGGGGGGGACAGGCGACATCATCGGTGCCGACGAAACATCGCAACGTAGCAGAACTCTCCTGGAAACATATTCTTCTGGCCGTGCGACTTGCCTGGGTAGATGAATAATAATTATTCTCTAAAACGTCCTCCGCTTAGCCACACACTGGATGTGTGGCTGAACACATTCATTCAGGGTGAAGCGAGAACTGAGGGGGGGGAGGGGAGGTGAGGTGGTGCAAATGTGATTTGTAATACACTACACTGTATAATCTCGATCATAGCGAGGCTGGTGACCTTCTGCAATTACGGCGGAGAGAGGGCGGGGGGGAGAGAGCGCGTGAAGAATTAATGTTTTTGCTGCGCTCATCTGCGAGGCGGAGGGACAGAGTGGGCGAGACAGCTGGCCGATGGTAGAACGTTCATCAATCCCTGGGGGGGGGGGTGGAGGGGGGGGGGAGTGCTCTCGTGGGTGACCATTGAAGCGTGCCGACCGGTCAATGGGGTCATCGTGGAAAGGTGCGACTGGTGCAGAGAGGAGCGGTGGCATCGTCCATGTCCCAGGGGTGCGCGGAGTGGTCCATCGCTTACGGAAGAAGATGTCGTTCACTTCCCAAGGGTCGACGTGCAGCATTGGCGGACAGTGTAGAAATTTTGTACGAACCAAACAAAGAATAATAGGCACATCGATAATTTCAAAATAAAACGAAAACAAACTTTGTGCAATGCCGTGAAGGCCCTGAAACTAATTTATGAGACGCGTGTGTGTGTGTGTGGAAGAAAAGCCAACAAGCAAACCAATAAATGCTAATATTTTCCCGCCTTTCATTGTACGCCGGGTCTTGAAAGTAACGATTTTGCTTAATTTTATTCATTTGGAACTGCGATGCACAGTCCCCGTATTTGGAATACTAATCCCGATTCTCCGCTCCGCAGCATACGAATAGGACCCACACACAAAGGGGCGAGAACCGACACGACGCAGGCAGACGGGACACGGGTTTGATGTTTGCATGCCGGCCGCTATCTTGTTGTTAATAATTCAAGAGGCAGAGTGTTGCAAGGTGAGCCGATGAGATCACCTTTCTCAAGCATCCAACAGGAAGAGAGCGGGCGGTGACTTCACCATCGCCATCGGCCACCACGACGCTAAACACCGCGCTGACGATCTAATCTTTATTGCGGGTCACCAGCGCAGACCTCCAGCCTCGCTTTCCCTCGATGACGTGACCAAAGCCATGCGCAAGCTGAGATAATCGTTTACGAGCTAGCTACACCTGAGCTGACGTCACGCCACCGCTGTAAACAAACTGATCACCGACAATAAAACGCTATTCGATACGACGTGCAGTTTGCCAACCTTGGCGGTCACTAAATCAGTGCTACGCAAACTTACACCGCAAAGTGAATCGCTTCATTCCACACGCCACCTCTTCAAAGAGTGGCGGACGAGAAAGCTTTTCCCGAAAACCGAGCCGTGCGCCGGAGAAATCTATAAAAAAAAATTATTAGCGGGGCGTAATCAAGGCATGCCGATCTATAAAGGAAACGCACGTGAGACTGGCAGACAATGCAGCGCACCCAACTTAGCAATGAGACACCAGGCATTCCGTAGAGCCCACTGGCAACACGCGCAACACACAAGGCCGCACACAAAGAACATCGGGGGAGACAAAGGGGGGCCCCCTTTTTAATAAAAATGGCAAGCCGTGCGTCAGCAGTGTAATTACTGTGAAACCGGCATGGCCATACAAAGTGCTCTGGGTCTCGGGTTTTCATCAGCTGGAGCCAGGAATCCTTTCGGCCGACCGTTTGAAATCTGTGCGCCCATTGTGTTTGGCAGGAAATGCCTCCTCCCCCCCCCCCCCCTGTCAAAATGGAGCAAATGAAGATTAACCCCCGTGGTTAGCCGAGTTGCCTCTGTGTAATGGTTAGCGCACCGGACTTGAAACTCAGAGAACGCCGGTCCGAACCCATCTTGCACGCACGTTGAACTTCTTTTCGCGCCGTACTAAGCCAGCCGCGCGCTCACTCCGGCCCTATCGGCGGGTCGCATGCGGTGAGGGTAAAAGCGTGGCCAGGTCGACGACATCCAAACACGTCTGGTCCACGTGGCCGAGTGGACAGAGCGACCTCTCGAGTTCGCCGTCGCAGGTCGTCCTTCTCGGGAGAAAGTGGCGTGAGAATGCGACGTGGCGAGGCTGCACGTGACAGGACCGATGGTCCGAGCTGCGCCGCCAAAGCTTTTCGTATGACTCCATAATGCAACAGCCTCGAGATTGAACTTATTTCTTTAGAACTGCTTGTTGTGTTTGGTGTATTGTCCTTTCTCCCGCAGCCTCCGATTAGCGAGGCTGGCTGCGTACGGCGCGACAGAAGTTCAACGTACGTACATGCAAACGAGTGAGCCTTGGGGGCTTTGGAGCTTAAGCACCTAACACCCTTAATCAACTCACAATTATAAAACCATTTGTATGCTTGAACGGTATATTATACAGGCAAATGGTGTCTGAACCTTAGCCCGTGGGTAGAGTTTCACATAGCGTGAATAACTGGTGGAGTTTGTCAATCTAAGCACTGGCGAAAGAAATGCCGTCTGACTACCATGGCGCCAAGCACACAATCTCCTAAATTGACCTTAATAGGAGCTTGCTAACTGCACGGCACTGCACTATTCCAACAACGGGCTTTATATGGTATAACATTTACAAGGAAGGAGTCTTAGCACAGCAGCCAAACCCTATAAACCCAGAGACATTAGTTAAATTCCTGGTTGCGACCGATATGTGAACGGGTACTGCCCCCCGCTTCACCAATGACAAGTGTGGACAAGTGTGGCCATTAGAACTGTACATTAAATCCATATTATTATCATCATTATATACCTACACGAGCTGTTATTGCTAGCCCTGCAGTGATCGCTTAAAATTAAAAACAAATATTTAAAAAACCACGAGACAAAGAAGAATGAAAGCTTCGTCGCGTGTGATCTGGATTACACACGTGGACTTGATGTGTGTGTTGCCTGGCTGGCGTTCCGATTGAGTAAGGCTCCGTCAAGCAACCAGACACACGGGTCTTTGTTTTCCTCTCCGCGAATACATTTCTTTCTGCTCTTTTATTACGACCGCAATTTTTGACTAAATCAATAAAAACACAGAAGGCGAGCGAGCGAGCGTCCGGTGCGAGATGCACGAAATTCTGTTGTGCAAAGAGCCCCCACCCACCCACCCACCCCACCCCATGAAAACTCAAGAAAATAAAAACGACGCCAGTGGAAAAGCAAAGTAAATAATAACAGCACCATCAAAAAAACAACCACAACAACGACAGTGGCCAAACAGCACAGCCCAATAACAAAGAGCACCCGAGAATAAATAACGCGTTACAATGTTGTATTCGTACGCACGCAGGCGTGCAGCATTCCCAATGCAAACACGAGGGCTCACACAACCGTTCATCTCGCCGAAACGTTCCCTTGCTTGTGGGCGATGCCAAGCGCCTGCTAAGCGCCGCTGGGAGGCCTGGAGGTAAAATTCAGCGCGACACCCCGGAAGGGGAAAACAGCCGTGCCCCCCCCCCACCGCCGCAGTGGGGAGATGTTAACTACCTCGCCTGGTATGCAGGAGGTCGCGGGTTCGAGCCCGATCCCGACGCCCGTGTATTTGGAGTTTGCGTGTTTTTCCCCGTGGTCGCGTGGATTTCCCCCCGGGGGTCCTCCGGTTTTTCCCCTCCACATTTAGAATCAACGTCACGCGTTCAGGGTATTTGGCTGCTCTGCATTTCCACGTGATGATGAGCCACTTATTGCCGAGCTATCATTCGTGTGGCCAGGTCACATTTCTGAAAAAGCTTAAAGACGTTTTTTTCTCTTTCCTTTCTAAAGCCTGGGTAATGTTTACGCTGCTGGCGCACCGTGCGGGCGAGTCCCCCCCGTTCCCAGGCATACCAGCCCGGAGTGCGTCCGCCTCCGAGGCCTTTGTCGTGCGTGAGAGTGTCCCCGCGCGCTGCGCCGTGTTTGCACAGCAGCGGCGTCGCGCGACGACGCAAAGCAAGAGCACACACAACAAACCCCCCCCTCACCCTCGATTACCTGCACAATGCCAACACCACCCCCGCCACCGCCGCCACCGCCGCCACCCCCGCCACCACCCCCCTCACCCCTGCCAACCCTGCCACCCCCGCCACCCCCGCCACCCCCGCCACCACCTCCTCCACGAGGCGCTGGAATCTGGGTTTCGGGTGCCATTTGCTACCTGTCCGTCAGTCGAGGTGAAAGCGTTCGTCCCTTTTTGTGTTTTGTGTACCGACCGAAAGGACCGCCCCCCCCCCTCCCCCCCGAAGAAAATAAACGGCAAGGGTTGAGCGGCTAAATGTGGCCATGCCCGACGGGCCACCAAAAGGCACCGCGCCCAGAGGCGGTTTGCAACCGCGATTCGTCCGGCCACAGATGCGGCGCACTGTTGAGCCTTGCTAGCGAGAGTCACCTGTTAACCACGCACGCAAATGATATCGGAGAGAACGAGAACCAGAGGAGAATGAAAAGAAGAAGAGGAACAACAAAAACGACGCGGGAAAATTAGTCGAAAATAAAATCGATGCTTGAATCGAACAGAGACGTCGAATCTTAACGGTCCATCAAATCACTGGGAGGGTGAATTTCGCTACATGTCATCGCCACTCAAGCAAGTTTCTTAACTTCAACAATTCCACTTTCGAACATTTCACGATATGTATATATATACAGACGTTGTTTAATGGCAAGATCAAGAGGTTATCGCGGCCAGAGCTTCTGTCGCGGCCCACACCTCTGCCAGAATTGGAGGAACCAGACGTAACGCTGTCATTTTGCTCGTGCGAATTCCCCACATGAACGCCGTGTACGCTGCGATGGTCGTGGAGATGGCCGAAACTCGGCGGACTAGTCTGTCCAAGGCCCTGTCCATGACACCGGGTAGAGGTGGGCATTAAAGCTTTAGCTGTGGCCGAAACTCAGTCTCTGCAGCTCGCTCCGAGGTGCAGAGAAAACAGTGAGGCTCATGGGAAGTGGCTGGGGGGGGGCAAGGTGGCAGTGCCTGCACCAAGAACTCTCTCTGTATTACATTCAGTGACTTGAACAGGAATTGTAAATTGTTCAGATTGCATTAACTTCGTTCAAACCATACATAGCCAACTATTCCATTCAGGTGTGTGGGAAGGACAAGCTAAATACATAAAGCAGTTCTAAAGAAGTGAATTTTCAATCTAGATTTTAAAATGCATAGCTCCAGTGACTTCCTAATATCAGAATCAAGAACGTTCCAGACGGCCGCAGAAGCGCATCCGAAAGCGCACGATGCGGTGACCGGCTTTGTTCGACGGCCAGCCAAAAGCCGCTGCTACTGCGAGGATGACCGGAGTTCACTCGACGGTTTATTCTCATTTACGAGATCAGCGAGGTATCGCGGTTCAAGTAAGCGGCCGGTGGGGGTGTCGTAACGGACGCTGAGAAATCCGCAGCTGCTGCCGCGGTCGGAGCGCATCCCTCCCGATAATAATGTTCAAACGTAATAATTAAAGGACAAGAAACAGCGCAGTAAAAATGTTTCATGTACTGCGGGTGGGCAGCTCGTCGAGAGAGACTCCCCCCCCCCCCCCCCCCGTTTGGAGGCAACACCTGCAAACTCGGGCCACAAGACGCGACGCGTGACCCACTTAGCTCCTCTGATAAATCGCTGCAATATTTGGCGAGTGTTCAAAATGATAAGTGTGCGCGTGTGTGCGCGTGTGTGCGTGCCAGAGTACGCCAATGGTCCTGTTAGTACATTAATAAATGCATGATCGCTAAATCATTCCCCGGCCACCAGAGTTTAATAAATAAATGTAAATAATAACACATTCCCATCATTTCTTTGCTCCGGCTTGGGCTGCAAATTTACGATTATGTCCCAGACTGCCGCTTTGTGTTTTTTTTTTTCATTCGCCACGTCCGTGTATTAGGCGAGTGAAAGGGTCAAGACCATATTCGGCCATTAATGTTCATAATTTCTGTATATAAAATCCGCCTCAAGGAGTAATTGTGTCTCATCCTTCATCGTGACGTACAAGTTTGACTTTCAAAGCGTCAACTGGCAATGTTACGCAACAGAAGAATAAAAAATAATCTACAACGAACATTTTGGAAGGAGAAAATAAAAGGAAAATGTATCACAGAGGGATGCTACCGCTGTGGTGGAATAATTCGCACACTGGACTTGCAATCCAGAGGTCGCCGGTTCATCCTGCTAGCGCGGCAGTTGAAACGATGGGACTCACTTCTAAAATTCATCCCCGATTCTGTCCAGCCAGCAGCATGAATGCGTAGCACACAGTTTGTCAATGGGCGAGTCGCATCCAGTGGGGGTGAAGTACGTGTACGCCCACTGGCTTCCGAGGCCAAAATGCCCTCTCGAGAGGGCGACTTCTCCAGAGCTCCTTCTAGGGGAGCACCTTCCGCCAGCGAGCGAGCGCGCGCAAGGCTGCATCTTTACCCTTCACCACGGAGGGCCGGCGACGCACACCTTTCACTTGAAACAAAGCGAGTCAGGCGAGCGGTCGGTGTCACCGGAACGCGTCAACCGCAATGCGTCAACCGCTGACAGTGACGCGCACGAAAAGCGATCGAATCATTTGGCCGCGCAAAGCGGTCACCTTCGGAAATCATGGAGAGGGCACGGGCGGCAGGCGCAACTGCCCAGGGCAGCACGAAGCCAGGCCGTAAATCCCAACGGACGGCGCGCCTTCAAGGTTATCCCACACCTCCCCCCCCCCAAAAAAAAAAAATATCGTGATAACAATAAATTGTAAAGAGCAGCCGCACACTTTCCGTGTCCTCGCCGCAGCGAATGAAAGTTGCTGCCTCATCGTCTGCCCGCTCCCCGCCCTCTCCACGTGTGTGCGTGTGTAGTCGCGCCACCGTCATTACCTTGCTGAAGGTGAGGCAGTCCTTGTCCTGCTCCCCGCCCGACACCGCGAAGTCGTACAGCGCCCGGCACTGTGGGGGAGGGGCCGGACGAGCCTGGGGCTGAGCGGCCCCCACCGTGGGCGTCCCCGGTGGTGCCGGCGTCGCCGCGGGCTGGAGCAGCAGCGGTACGGCCGGCGTTGGCAGCGCCCTCAACACCTGTGTGTACGACGACGGAGACAAAGAACCCCCACAGGGCCCCGTGGAGCCGTAAACAAACTGGTCGGGGAAAGTTTAAAAAAAAAATCAAACACATTTTTATTTTCCCAGGTAAGGCCCACTGGGCTATGTAGCTCTGTTTCAAAAGTGACATGGCGACAAATGAAAGTTTAACCAAGTGTCTTATCGTGTGGGAATTTGTTGCAGCCGAATAATCTGAACGCACGTTGCTAAACGTGGAGGGAAAAACCGGAGGACCCGGAGAAAAATCCACACGACCACGGGTAGAACATGCAAACTCCAAATATACAGCAGCCGCGTCAGGCTTGGAATCGAACCCACGACCTCCTGTATACGAGGCGAGGTAGTTAACATCGCCACCGCGGTGCCCAAGTGCTATTAGTAAACACTTCTATAGGACGGCACGCGGAGAGGGGTTCTCAACAATGCCGTACGTGTGCGCCGACGCAAGAACGTCACGAACGCGAGCAAAGGCAAACACAAAGATCCCCCGTGCAGCGTTACAAAACTATGGTTTATTGGGGAAAGTGCAATTAGCGAGCACCTTCGACAGCCGCCACAGCACACGAGCGGGGGGGGGGGGGGTCTGTGGCCAGTACCATGCTCGATCACATTCGTCTCCCCAGTGGCGATGTTCACACACTGCACCGGGTACTCATTTGAGGCCGAGTCGACCTCGGGGAGGGCCCAGGACCGGTTCAGGTATTCCTCACCTGAACCGTGAGCGAGAATCGAACTCGAGTCGCCGGGTCCATAGCGAAGCGCACTAACCGCTACACCACCGCTCACACACACACACGACCACGGACATACTCCACCCCCCCCCCTTCCCAACCTCCACTGACCACCAGTGTGGCTAAGCGTGGACCCACACGGCGTGGGGGGAGACCTTCAGCAAAAAGATCTGTAAAATAACTACGCCATTATTGCCTCCTATATTTTGCATAATTGTATTTCGAGGCCAAAATCATCGCTGATCTTGTTGCTTGAGCGAAGCACGTGGATTCATTCCTCCACCCTCACAAGTCGCCTATTACGGGCAAAACTAATTGAGCACCCCCATTCCATTCCGAGCGATTCAATTAATTGTCGTGAGTTACGGTCGCAATTACAGATTTCGTTGCGTTTTTTTCTTGCTTCTTTACTTTGTGGCGAGGACGGCGGCGGCAACGAAAGGCTGCCACCAGGGTCAAGCGAAGAGCCCATGTGATCTACAACTCGCGCGGATTGAGAAACGTCCATTCCTCCACGTGGAAAGAAACATGGCGCACGCATCGCGAGCTTTCGGATCGATATTAAATCAGCCAATCAATGCATCCTTCTCCCTCACCTTGTTTATAGTTACGTCCCCCCCGTCACACCGACTCCGACAGGGTCAGCCGACGACATCAAACGTTGTTGCTCGCGAAAAAAAAAAGCAGGTCGCAGAAAGTGCATCGCGCCACCCCACGCGCGCAGCTTTTCCCCAAGAATGGGGGGGGAGGTCAAAGGTGAAACGAAGGCCGTATTTTTGTCGCAACAAAAGGGAAGGTTGTCTGGATAGCTCGACAACGACACGCACGGTCCAAGGTTCACGTGTTTTTTTTTTTTACACGCGGGAAACATGTCGCGGTGGCGTCACGCACGGCGCCCTCCGTGACCGAGGCACTTTCCCCACCAACCCCCGCCACCCGCCACCCGCCACCCGCCCTCCCCCGGCAAACACGATGAAGTGGCTTTCTCCTTTACGCCGCCCGACGTCGAGTGCTTCTCAACAGGAGAGCGGTCGGCCTCCTCTTTTCACTCACTCGAGGTGAATCCCTATCATTCCTCGGCAGGGCGGCAAAAGGGGGCGGCCGTGGTGTTTCTCGAATTGCAACGACATCCAAAGAACGGGCCGGTGGAGTGTGGGGGAGGCAAGCACGGGAAGTCTTTTTATCCCCCAATGCGTGCACAGGCAGTCAAAACAAAGGGGGGAAAGAACACGGCAGCACACGGCAAGAGCGGCTCGGGACGTGTCTCCCGCTACCCCGAGTGGCTTCCATAAGTTTTAGCCTGGCGGTTGGAGGCTTGGCCGTTCACACCGAATCGTTAGGAATTCCAAGCTTGGCCTCTTTGCAACCCTCGGTCATCTTTTACAGCGGCGACGCACATTTCTTATAAATATATATAAACTGGTTGTGAAGGTACAGTATTCCCTCGTTATTCGTGGGGGATACGTTCTGGAAATTCTCGCGAAAAGCAAATTTCGCAGATAATGACATTGGGCCTATGAAAATCCATCCTTTCAATAAATGACCTTAAATACATGGACATTTTCTCACCACTATATTGCATCACATTTTCTCTCATGGCTCTATATCATCACTTTCTTAATCTCTCTCTCTCTCGATGCAGTCGTGTGGAGTTCAAGATACGATTCTCGGATCAGCTCGTGAATAACGAGGGAATACTGCCTGCAAACGTTTTCTTAAACCAATAATCATTATTATTCGTACCGTTCTTATAATTATCTTTATGCGCGCGTTTGTCTCTCGCTGAATCTCTTCTCGCGGAATGCGCGAAGCTGTCGCGTGACAACTTTTCCCCCTTTTTATCGAACAGCGTGACACGTGGATTATTATAGTGCGATTTGTGAAAGCAGCACACGCGCTACGATATAAATCCGTGTCACAACTCGAGGGCAAAAACATTCCTACGCGATACAAATCCTACACGCGTAGATTATCTGAGGACAAAGGATATCAGGATGAAATATATGATCCGTGACCGAAAAAAAAAGATCAGGATACGGTGACGTATTAATGATCTCCGACTGACTATACAAGTAACCCCCTAACGGGAAAAACGTACTCAAGAGGTTTTGGCTTTTTTCTTCCAATAACATTGAAACATTCCAAGAATCGCTGCAGTCAAGACGTACGTGCCAGACGGTCAACAATTCATCCGCCAACTTTTAAATGCCAAACAGTTTAAAAATCGCAGAGACGAGGGTGGGAAATTGCAAAAACACGCTCATTATTTTATTTAACGGTAGAGTTACCACGAATGTGAATTCACTTATTCTCTAACAAAGCACAAGCGCATAAAGAATGAACCGTAAACGAGTCCTAACCAACGTTAGCCTAAAAAAATCTTTGCCTGCCACTCATATATAATTTATATACAAGTGCGTGCGTCTCTGTTACAAATTAATGATTTCCCATTTTCCACTCAACCAGAATCAACAGGGTCACAGCACCATTAAGGCGAACGCACACGATCCTCGCTGCATACCAACCAACACCCAAGCCTCCAGTTCGCCGATACCGATACCGCGGGTTAACTAGGTACATCGTGGGGGTTGGTGGTGCGTGCGTGTCCCACTGCGTGTGTGTGTGTAGTGGGGAGCGATAGTGTAGTGGTTAGCGCGCTGCGCTATAATCCCGGCGACCCGGGGTTCGATTCCCGCTCACGGCCAACATCGGAGACGATTATCTGAACCGGTCCCGGGCCTCCCCTAGGTCGACTCAGCCTCAAATGAGTACCTGGTGCGGTGTGTAAACATCACCACTAGGGAGACAAAGGCGGTCGGGCGTGGTTATGGCCACCCACCCCCTCGTGTACCGTTCTGGCCTTCATAGGTGCATGCTAACAGCACTTGCCCCGACAGTCTATTGAGGCTATATGGGGGATCTTTGTGTGTGTGTGTCCGGGTTGCGGCTACGGGAGTGGGAGTGTAGCGGTTGGCGCGCTGCGCTATGAAACCGGTAACCAGAATTCGATTCTCGCTCGTGGTCATCACCAGCGATGATTATCTAAACCGGTCCTGGGCCTCCGCTTGGTCGACTCAGCCTCAAATGAGTACCTGGTGCGGTGTGTAAACATCGCCACTGGGGAGACAAAGGCGGGCGGGGGCGTGGTGTTGACAACCCACCCCCTCGTGTGCCGTGCCGGCCTTCAAAAGTACAGCACTTGCCCCAACAGTCTGTTAAAGCTATACGGGGGATCTTTGTCTTTTTGTCTGGGCTACGGTTAGTCAGTTCTGAGTCGGCTGGGTGGCTCAGTGGCCCCAGGGCGCTGAGCTGGGACTGCCGAGGTTCCGGGATAGAATCCAGGCTTCACCTGTCACTGATTAAACAAGGATATGTCGTCAGATGCAGTGAGCCGATAAGCTCGGAACGATCATCGATGAATGCGCGGATTTCATTCAACGTGGCTCCATTCGAGCCGTGATATACAGGGTTTATTGCTTTGAGATCGGGTCCATCTTTTTAAAACACCCTGTATTTCTCCATGAAATAAGTTCGACTCCTGCGCAATAACACATTTCTCTGCAGCAGGCCGTGTGCATTAAAAAGGTCACTCGAAGGGATCTTGAAATTGCGGACAAGGTGATTGCACCTGCCGTGGGGCGAGTTGAGATACGGGTTAAGGTCGGCCATTGCTGTTGGTACTATCCAACACGCGTGGCAACATGTATGTATGCATGTAGAATTTATTTCTTGCCAACAGTGCTAATCGGAGGTGCAGGGGTGGGGGGGCAAGGATAACAAACCAAAACACAAAAAGCGGTGAGGAAGAAATGTGTTTGTCAATCTAGATGATGATTTTTCCTAATATCGGAAGGAAAAGTGTTCGCTGACGGCCGCAGAACCGCGTCCGAAAGCATCGCGCGATGCGGTGACCGTCCTTGTTCGAGGGCGTGCCAATAGCCGCATCGGAGTTTCATTCAACGCATGCGTAGAGAGTCGCGGACGGCATCGCCAGCGCGCGACAAACCTCCACCAAGCGGCAAATGCAGCGGCCCGAGCCCCACCCACCTGCACGTAGCTTGCGGGGAAGAAACCCTGAGCGCCGGCGCTCGTCTCCCCGTGGTACCAGCTGTCGTCGATGCGCCGCCGAAGGAACACCAGGTCCCCCTTGCTGAAGGGCAGGTCGCCCGGCTCCTTGCCCTCGTAGGTGTAGAGCGCCCGGGCGCACGGCACCACGGGCAGGGACTGCTGCACGCCGGGAAGGCACGCGGGCGAGGGGGTCACACGGAGGGGAAGGAGGGTTAGCACGGTTGGCCACGTACGGTTTTGAAAGAAGTTCAACGTACGCACATACAGCAGGAGGGTCTGTTACAGGTAATCACTGCGCACCGGGTTACGTTGAAGTAACAAAGTCTAACCTCCCGTCCAGCGGCACGTGTGTGTTTGTGTGTGTGAACAGAAGTGAGGTGATTTAAAGCTTTCGTGACAGCAGGGATTTATATTCTTGGTTCTTTCTACGTGACTTTACCGAAAGAACCAAGAATAAGAAGTGAGGTGGTTTTTTTTCATTCTCCCTCCCCCCCCCCAGTTCTTTCCGCGACACGCGATTAATCGAGCGATTCGTCGAAAAGCGAGGGCGGTGGGGGAGCTGTACAGATGGTAGTGTTTAGAACGTAGCGGCATCTAGCAGATCCAGAATTTAAGTGACCCAATTGGATGCAACATATGTGAGAACTAATTTTTTGTTACACCAGATGGCTGCTTTAGAATGCATTACGAGGATTCTGAAACGTGCAATAAATGCAGGCACCGGGCTTCCCAGGCCGCCAGTTAGTGGTCGTCAATACGGCACTGTTCTTATTTCTCATGAACACGTGAAACCTTGCCAAGCTTGCTCATTCTTCACGACCGTTCAACAGCACGCACGGAGATTAATTAAAGCGACTGCCCAAGCCTCCTGGCGTAGCCACCACGACCGCTGGCGCAACAACCCGCCGGCATGGTTGAGACAAGGCGGGTTGTGGTTGGAGAGCGGCCACGGCAGGGTTTTTTTTTACAACGTTCACCATCGTCTCAAACGGCCACGCAAACACGGTGGCGGTCGAGACCATAAGAGCGCAGGCGGCGTCTGTGTGGAAGTGTCACTTGACGTTGTTGAGATCACCGATAACGCGCACGTACATCATCATCATTATCCAACCCCACCCTGACGTTGAGGGTTTCCCAAAAACAATAAAGGCGACCGCCCCGCGCAAACAATTGTGCTATGCGGGCTGACGTCAGAGAGGACATTGGATCGGCCTTACATATTAAAAAAAACAACATCGAAAACCGTGGGTGTCCGCAGGAATGTGTGAATGAGGGAGTGTGCTGTGGAAGGCTAGTTGGCGCTGGGCGCGACTCAATGCGACGGCACGTTTAGAGATCCCCACACGCGCGCCGGTCGCGGTCGCGGGCGCGCACTCTCGACATCAGAGCCGCGCTCTCTTTCGCAACACTCAACAAGCCCGGCAGGGCTCCGCAACGACAACGCTTTGGTTTGACTGCGGGCTCGCCGAACGAAACCGCGAAACCCAATTAAGTTACTAAATACCGTTGCTTAACTCGGCCGTTGCAGGGCGGGCGACACGATTCGCGTCCGCCTCTGACGAACGCGTTGGGTTTCACGCGCGCCCACGCAGACATCAAGTGGTCCCATTCAGAAGTTGTTTGTTTTCTCCTATGTAGTGATTTTCATCTCAGGAACGGCTACGACAGCTACCAAAGCAGGCGGAGTCGAGTGGAAAGAGCGAGAGAGAGAGAGAAGCAACTTCCCTGGCCGACACGAAGCGTGTACAAACTCTGCTGGGGGCCACGGTGGCTAGGCGGTGGTAACTACCACGCCCGGTATGCACGAGGACTTTGGTTCGATCCCAAGCCTGGCGCCTGTTGTATATTTGGACTTTGCGTGTCTCGCTCTCCATGGTCGTGTGGATTTTTCTCCGGATCCTCCGGTTTTCCCCTCCACATTTAGAAACGTGCATTTAAGGGCACTTGGCTGTTATAAATTCCCACGTGATAAGCCACTGTGTTTAGCGAAAATTTGTGGCCAGACCACTTTTGAAAAAGAGCTATATAGCTCAATGGGCCTTACCTTGTAAAAGAAAAGAGTTTGTTAATAATGTAATAGTACAGACAAAGAGTCAGTGGTTTCTTGCTGAACCAGTGATGTATATTCCACATTCCTATGCTGGGAGGAGAGCCTATCTATAGCAACTGTTGACTTCTTCACAAAGTGGTACCTATTTTATAAACCCCAGCAGGATGATGGGCTGAATCAGTCCCTTTCCAAGATTTGAACTCATGACCTTCCAACTGTGAGCTGCCAGCATAAGATTATAATTACACATTTTTTCTATTATCATATTTCGTGTCTGATTTATTTGTTTTACATTGTGACCTACTCTGCACAAATTTTTTTGTAAACCTGTGAGTAAACTCATGGAGGGATTGAGTAATTTCAATCCGTGTCCTAGTTGTGCATATGCAGTGGAATCTGGATACACACGTTTTCCTTCCAACAGTGTTACATAAGCACGTGTTACTTACGTCAGAAGTGTGTTTATGCTGCATAAGTTGTGCCGATATTCCGTTTTATTTACGCGTGAAAATTCGGTTTTGTAATTTTAGCAACTCGTATTTAAAATTAATTACGTCCCTCCATTTGAAATGTTTTCATTATATCTGCTTATGTCAATGGGAAACAAGACTCAAGTGAATATGGCGTTGCCGGCCTAGAAGAAACATATTTAATACGCAACGATATTCGTAACTGTTGTGTCAAAATTCAACGACGCATAATGAAGGTAACAAATTGATCCAACGTGCAGCTTGTGCTTAAATGCCTATAAATTAGTACAGACAAGTCATCTGGTCATCAGTGCACATGATTGGGCTATCATTCCGAGCTAAGTGTTATGAGCAACAGGAGTGCCATCAACAGGAGTGCCATCCTTACCGCTGACACTCACTCTGCCCAAGTGCTTTACAGCCACGCCGTAATGTAACGCTTAACCGGGGAGAGGGAAACAACGGGCAAAAGATAAAAATCTTTTTTTTTAATACCCACCGAGGGTAAAACTTTGATTCCACTAGAGCTCACGATGAAACAACAACAGATTTTGTCCAGGAGCCCAGATGCAGTTGCTTCTTCGTGGAGTTACTTTACCCCATCAAAATTGCAGATTACCCCCTCCCCCCCCTTGAGTCAACGTGAGCCAAGTAGAATTTGTCCTCTTGAACTGAAGCAAGCCGGCTTTCTTCATATCAGGCGCACGTGCGCGGACTCCGTGTGCCGCGCACCCGGTGGGCATGAGCGCAGAGGTCGGTGCACGTGCAGGTGCGTGCGTGCGCGAGCACGTGCACGTTCGCACAGAGGCAAAGGTCCCGCGTGTAGACGTTTTACAGACCGCTGTGGCAATGTATCTGTACGTTGAACTTCTTTGGCGCTGTACGTAGCCGACCGTGCTAAGGAGGGCGGTGGGGGGAAGGAACGAACTAAACGCAAAAACGTTGCAGTTGACAAACGCCTCATTAAAAAGCGGTGCCCGTACTGATACGAGCACAAAACGCGCAGCCCAATGCACGCAATAACTTTTAACACGCGATTTTCTTTTTAAAGCCGATCGTTTGTTTTAAACAAAAATACAGTTTCCTCCCCCCCCTCCCCACCACCCTGGAGCATGCTGGCGGCAAATCCTGTTAGCGAGCACCTACTGGCCCAAACGGCCCACAAAGCGGATGAGTGTGGTGGCCACGCTTGGCCCGACCTGTGGCCTCCCAACAACTCCTCACTTCCACACGGTGCCAGCTAATGCACTTGGCAGTCTAAGCTGACCAGAGTTTGACGGCTGTAGGTAAGTTTCAATGCCGCTCGCAACCGATGACTATAACCCCAGGTGTGGCCACGATAATGAAGTGCTTGAATCATCCCGCACGCCCACACGTGCGAACGCACGTACATACCGAAGTGACGCTGAGCAACCCGGGTACACAGAGGCAGGCCTCAGGAGAGTTACAGGCGCACATCTGTTGGTTAAGTCCTGGGCTTGGCAAGCAAAGCCCATTTGAAAAGTCAGTGCTGAGCAAACATGGATGGTATGCGTTTACCCAGCCAGCGAGTCAACAGAGAACCCTTCTGGCCTGCCAAGAAAATATGTCTGCCGACTTTTCTCCCTCGATTCGTGAGCATTTCACTTCCACATAAGGAGCCTCGGCATGCCCATGCCAATACGACGTAGACTGTATAACAGACCGTTTGTAGCTTCAGTGCCGGTCTGTGTTATGCACACATCGCTTCCAATTGTTGTGCAAATTTGTTGTTGAGAAATTCATTTTTTATGACCACACGTTTTGCTACAAAATTCATGCTGAAAACGCAGATCCAAGCTAGATAACCTTCCGATAAAACCGTGGATTTTTCGGGAAGTACGGAGGGCAAGGAAAATCCTCGAGATTTAATGAGAGCGGACGTTTAATTCGCTCGAATCCCGTGCAAATGTAATTGGTATTCGACTGAAAACAAACGCAAAACCCCAACCAACCGGCAACATTTTTTTGAATTGCTCGTCGCCTTCTCATAAATGTCAGCAGGACTTTTCCCTGGCGGTTCGAGAGGAACCACCGCTTCGCAGTCAGGCCGATATCTCCCGCAGAGATTTTTGAGCAGAGGCTCACGACGCGGCACGCTGCGTCACGGCGACTGCGTGGCGGCAACAGAGACGATGCAGCTCCTTCGCGCGGCACCACCAGCAACCCTCGATGCGGACTGGGGACTCGGTGTTGTCAATGCCCAAGCTTGAGGATTGGTGTGCTTACGCAATTTATACTATTCTACTTATTTCTAAGAGGTTTGCTAACCCCTTTCCTATACTTTGCACCCCTATCGGGTTTTTTTGTATTGTTTGTTGTTGTAACTTTCTAACACCCCCCCCTCCTACTGGACATCTGTGGGAAACAAAAAAGCGCTTCATAGATTGTGATAATGCACCAAGATATATTTTGTTGTTGTCGGAGTGGTGGCGGTGGAGAGGGGAGGGGAGGGGAGCGGGGGTGGTTTGTGACGGACAGGAACTAAACTCATGTGAACCGGCTAAGCGCAGTCATTCCGTATGAACGAACCGACCCAGAAGAGTCAACGCGATACGAACTCGTTGAGCAAAGAAGAACCAAAAAGCAAGCCACACGGTGCCCCTACGTGATTTTGACCA